AGAAGCCAGCTACTCTGACAAGCCACACAGGACAATCAAACATACTGGTCTTCTCACTATATTACAGAGCTATTCCACTCAGATTTTTAAAGTCATAATGAAAAAATCCTGTTGTAAGGGTTCCTGTTTTCTTCTTCAGAAAGCTAAGCAACAAGTGCCAGTGTCAGGGGAACCCCAGGCATAGAGACAAGTATAGTGATGTCCTGGGTCAAATGATATATAAAGGACACATACTGCATTCTTTCCAGTACATTGCATGACTTTTATTATTTGATTCAGATGCCCATCTTTATAACCACAACTGTGTTTCTGAGGATCTCTGCATGGCTTGGAATGAGGCATAGCAAATCCCTAGGGCCCACCCTGACTCCCCTCGTGAAGAATCACCACCATATCAACACTTTTGGGGTGCACCTCACCTGCATTGATATGTTGCTGTGACACACCATGCAGGTACATTTTGCTATGCTGCCCATTGGTAATTTACTTACTTTGTTCTGAGGTAGCATGTTGCCTGAAAGCAAGACCAATCCTCTGCCAAATCCTCTGGTTTCTGGGAAGTCCAAGTCCTAATATGAGGATTTTTACTCAACATAGTCTATTCTCTATATGTTCTTATTGATAAGATGATTAGTAAGAATCACTACATGACACAGTTGTCTTTCTTCCTATTAAAGCTTCACTTAATTTGTGTCAACAAATGCAAACATAATGAAGGCTATTTGTACCTTACACACACTGTCTTTATTACCGGATATGATTAAAGTTTCTGGGACTCCTCTAAGTTTGCTTCTGTTTTCTATCTCCACATAGTAATTCCCCCCAAACAACTGGAATCATCAATAATATACTCTATAACAACATAAGGAGATATTTAAGTGATTGCAGTATAATAGTACTCATATTTTATAACTCAGAAACAACTTTTAATAAAAAACAAGAAAAGTATACTTTATGTAGTAAAGTAAAACAAAACTGATAATTTTGTAACTTTACAAAATTTACACTTGATTGAGCAAAAGTAGTTTTTACGTATAATCACATATCTTGAAATGAAAGAAGAAATGAAAATTGATAGACTGGAATTGATGATGCAGAATTTTTTAATGTATTTGAAAGAATATATATTATTCTTTCAAATTAGCCTTTCCTACAGATGAGTGTTCTGAAGTACCCAGGCACTGCATAAACCACTTACGTTGTTCAGACTTTGTTTGGTGATTATCTCCCTTCCTTTTCCTGTGACACTCTATTTAAGGCGAGGAAATCAATTTCCAGACAAGATTAAGCACATAGATTTAACTCTATATCCAAGTATCCTTAGGAAGAGAGCCAATTTTCATAAAAATAAATCACATGAATGAAAACCTGTTTCCAAATTTAATGTTCAACTGATGTTTTCTCTGTTCTCTGTAAGGAGGGACTCTGTATACCTATTTACTCTCAATCCTGTTACCATATATCCCTCTAACATCTTGATTTTTTTGTCTTTCTCTACTCTAATCCTTGACTTCACTTTTTGCTTTTATTTTACATTGTGTGTATCTTCATAAATTCTCTTTAAAATATTCTGGAATAGCCAGAGTATCACTGAGAGAATTCTGAGTGGTAAATAAAATAAGGACATGTTTATTCCTTTCCTTTTATAATTAAGAACACTTCTGGCCAGAAGTTGCCAACAGCATTTTCTTGTCAAACCCACACCATCTACCAGTACTTGTAAAGCACCCTAAGAAGCCACCCATGCTTCCTGAGCATGAATTGGGGGGGCTTATTTGGAAGATTAATCACCCAAATGATGGCACGCTCATGTTCTCTATGTTCTAGTGCTCCATCCAAATACATACATAGATGTAGAAAGAAGAACGCTCATGACAAACGCAGACTTCAGTGCTTATCACAGAACACATCTAATGCCTTCATTTTATATTCATTGTGAACCTAAAACACGTCTGATGTGTACTGAAAACAAAACATACCAACACCTACACTCTAGAGAATTCTATTAGAAAGATCTAATGTAAAGTAAGAAACTCTATGATAATTCCCAGATTAATGTTCTCAAAACTTCTTTGCTTTTTTCTTTCCTTTAGTGACAAGAAGGTAGGATAACGGAGAAGAAATTTCTCTATTGCCGTCATTGTAGTTCCTGTTGTTTAATATGAAATGTCCCCCAAGACTCATATATTGAGGACTTGATTCTCCTTGCAGCAGTGGTCAGAGGTGAAACTTAGGGAGTTGCCTGGGTCCTGAGGGTACTAACCTCACCGGAGGCTTAATCTTATGATGACTGCTTAACTGAATGGGCTATCAAAAGGTGGGCCCAGATGGAAAGAATAGGTCATTTAGGGAGTGCCTCTGAAGGATTTATCTTGTCCCCAGCTCCTTCCTCTCTGTGTCTTGCCCATGAGATGAGCCATTTTGTTTCACCACGTGCTTCCCACCGGGATGCTCTGCCTCACCACAGGCCAGAGGAAATGGAGCCAAGTGACTGTGATCTGAAACCTCTGAAACTATGATCCATAATAAAGGTTTCCTACTTAAAGTTGATATACGTCAGCTATTTTATCACAGCAACACAAAGCTAACACAATAATACAGTATTTTAAAAAAAGAAAATGAAATGCTATCCCTGGGCCTATATGATTCTAGTCTCACACCAGATAGTTTGTTCAGGGAAAAAAAAAAGCTACTACATGAAAGGCAAAGTCCCCTGGGAAACTAACTTGTTGGAGATCATTCAGGAATCTGGATTTCTAGCACTCAAATCAGGAAAGTCCTGAGGAGACTAGAACATTGGAGATAATTTCTACAATATTGTAATCTGTATTCTATAAAATTATAATGCAGTATAGCCTACATCTCCTATTATCCCAGCTTAATGGGAGTACTTAATTATCCCAGCTTAATGTGGAGTACTTGGCTATGAGTCTCTAGTATGACAGTAAAAGAAAGTAGAACATCTTTAAAATAAAGAAATTAATCCATCTTAACAATAGAACTGGATAATGTTGAATGGATGCCTATAGTGAAAGCAAACCCTAAACATACTCTTTGCACAGAGCCAGGTCCTCTTTCAGGGAAAGTGTTAGCACAGGTGCTATTGGAAATGTTTCATTTGTTGTTGTTTCACGTGGTAAAAGTTTTTTCCTGAGTTTTTAGAAAGGCATCTGCAACTCATTTCCATGTCAAACTTCCTTAAAGACACCAACATGGGTACTTTTCAGCACTGGTTCTATGGCTAGTATAGAGTTAGTAAGTACGTGGTTAGAGAAGGAGCCCATCTAGGTTTGCATGTGATAGCCAACCTGTCTCCATCTGTGTAAAGTTGAGTGATTCCAGTGCCCCCCTTGGGAGTCCCCTCAGTTAATGCATAACAGACCTGCGTGGGTCTGTGTCGCGAGCAGGTACCGTGGGTAAAGAGGACTCGGACTCGGATGGCAGTTCACACACTTATCTTACATTATCATAATTCACTTCAATACAATTACCACACAATATTAAGTCTGCCAATCACCACGTCCCTGTACCTGTACTGCGCAAGTCCTTATGGGAGCGCGACGTTTCCTCCCGTAGGGTCCAAGGGTCCGATCCGTAGACGAAGGGAAAGGCGTCGAGTCGGCGCTAGGCTGTCCGTTTCTCCGCTTTCCTCGTCCTCTGGTCTCGTCTGGTTGGCGGCGATGCTCCTTCCAGCGGGATCAGGTGTGCAGATGTCTCGGTTGGTAGTCAGATCAGCAGAGTGACTGGTCGACTGGTCGGTGGGACGGATCGTCGACTTGCTTGGGGTCTTCAGCTCCTTTTATACTATTCTAACTGGGTGTTTGTGGTATTGGTTCAGACTTATCACACTGTCCATTTCGGGGCACACCCTGTCCAGTTCAGGGCACACCCTTATCAGCTCCATACTGCTTAAGGTTCTACTTTCATATCTTATGGTTACACATCACTCTTACGATTATATCATAATTAGGTTACAGCACTCTTAAAGTCACAGCACACTTTAGGGTTACAGCACTCTTAGGGTTATACAATTCCATCTTATTTCAAAATGTTCTCCACATCCTCTCATCTCTCATGCTCTTCAGTGACTTCTTTCCGTTTGCCTTTTCTAAACCTTGTGCTGGTCTGGATTTTGACTCTTAATAATTTTGGAAACTGTAGACAAATCACTTAACCTCAATAAACAAGCTTCCTCATTTATAAAGCAGCTATAAATACCTCACAACCTTATTTTGAGATTATTAAAATATTGGGTGCCAATGGTTAGGATTTTTTCAATCCAACTACCAACTACCGATATATTGAAGAGTATTCATTTCTGATTATAAAAGCAATACCTGCCTTATAAATTTTTAAAAACCTTTTAAAATGTATATGTAGTAATTAAAATTATTTGTATATACCTCCATAACTCAGAGGTAAAAATAACCTATTAACATTCTAATAGGTTTTAGTGTAAGCAAATTGTTTTTAAAAATCAAAAATATCTTTATTATGGAAATTTCTGATTTTATAACAAAGCATAAATATAATATTATGAACTCTCACATACCCATTCCCTGGCTTCAACAATTATCAACCTTGTTTCATCTAAACTCTGACTCCCATTTCCAATTATGTTAAAGTAAATCTCCATACGTATATCTGTACATATGTATCTTCAGAATATAATCTTTAAAAACGTAATTCTAATACTACCACGTTCTTTAAAAGTAACCATAATTTGTTAATATATCAAATATCCAGTGTTCAAATATTCTCGATAGTCTCATGTTTTATAATCAGAAGTTTAGTTCTTTGCCATGCTAGTTAAGACACTGTCTCCCTTCCACACTGCTGGGCATCTCCCACGAATAAGGTCCCCTCCAGAACATGAGTCAAGTTTCTTAGAGCAGCGACTGAGCCGGAAAGCACCACAAATCAACGTGCTCGATTCTACAGCGGGCGGAACTAAAGTTCCGCCTCTCTTGCGGGCTCGGTAGGGAGCTCTTTTTATGTTGCACTGAAGCCAGACTCCGCAGAAGCGACTGGCAGCGAGTACCAGAAGCGCTCGCGAGTCTTCAGCTCGCGCGAAGATTTTTCCACGGGACGTGGTGTAGGCTGAGGGCGCGGTTTCTATCCTGACTGAAGCTGAGAATTGGGGCCGCGGCGGAGATGGAAGGCGGCGCGGAAGGCCGCACGGCCAGCGCGCTTTTTGCGGGTTTCCGGGCCTTGGGGCTTTTTAGCAATGATATTTCACACGTGGTGCGGTTCAGCGCGCTGAAGCGCCGGTTCTACGTAACGACCTGCGTGGGCAAGAGCTTCCACACCTATGACGTGAGTGGTTTTCTCCTTCTCCCACTTCCCTAAAGCCACCCTCTTCCAGTTCCCAGCGCTGTCCTGGGGCCATCCCGCTGCCTCCTCCAGTCTAAGAAGGTTTCCCTGCCCCTGCCCTCTGTCGCCTTCCTGTTGTGTTCAGCCATTCTCCTGGCGTCCACGTGTCGGCCCTGGCACTGCAGCTGGCGGAGGCAGCCAGGCCAGGGTTAAAGTACTGTACTGTACTGTACAGATCGTCGCAGTTCTAGGACAGTGTCTTTGCTTAGTATTTATTGGCCTTTCTCTGAAGATGTAAACACGAAGAATACAAGCTCCCTCGCTCTTAAGGTCTTGCAGCTGGAAGTGATGTAAGCCATTTTTATTGGTAGTTGATGACGAATTGCGTTGGGAATTTAGAACAAAATCCATTGGGAGAACTGGACAGGGTGAGATTATGATTTATGGGCTCACATTTGAGTATCTGGCAGAGTGTCATTACAAGCCTTTCAGCAGTTTCTTTGCAAGGTAGGCTACATTATCCTGTAGCACTCCTACATAAAATACGAAAGTAAACCTTACAAAAATTAAGTTATTTGTCAAGGTCCTCCTGCTTGTTAGTGTTTTTTTCTCTCTTTTTCTCTTTTAACAGCTTCCACTCATTGAAATAGTCTATTATTTGTTTTCTCCTAAAGAGTATAAGCCTTGAGAGTGTATGCCAGTGTTAATTAAGCACTTTTTCTGGGAAACATGCTGTAGACTTGTTTTCCTTGAAGTGCTGTGAAAGTCAAATGTGTTATTAACAAAAAGCAGGGAGTTGGGAGCCACTTGAGTTACTGCAACAGTAAAGAGAGTAGGGTGAGATGAAGAGCAATTGAATTTCTGGAAGTCTGGGTAGTGACATCATGTGGTAGCATTTGCTGATGCCATACTCCACACATGTTCCTTGCTGGGAAACTTGGATTTGCTAAAGTTTTATCCCTGAGACATAGCTTCTCTTAAGTTTTTCACTTAAAAAAAATTCTTGATATCTTTAGTATGTCATCTTTTCTGACACTCAGCTATACACAGACACATTTTGACCTATGTTATTTCCAAAAAAATTCTGGGGTTAGGAGAGTAGCACATTTATATAAAAGTTTCAGGGGCAACCCACTTTCTGGTCCCTCTTCTGCCTCTCTTAGGCAGAAGCTTTCTTTCTCCCAATACATTTTTCCTACTCTTAACCTCCATTGTCCCTAGAATTCATTCTTCAATTTTAGAGAACACAAACTCTCATTTTGGATATCTAGTAGGTTTGGGAATTATATATCTTCCCCTATATCATTTTGGAGGTCTTCCACCAAGACTACTGGTCAGAGGAACTAGGAAGCAGTGGTTTAAAACTCTTGGTTTGCTAGCAATACTTCCTTCTCTAAACATGATTGTTATGGCTAAAGTCAATTGTACCTTGTGCTTTGAGAGAACCTACTGGAGTAAGGATACGAGTTACCTGAGGAAGATGACATCCTACTAAAGGATAGCAAATAAGAGTTTTCTTTATGTCATTTAATGTCTTGGGATCAGATGGAGGTGTTTGACTGAAAGACTATTCCATACTAAGATGGACATAGGCTGCCGAACTCCAAGCAGTCATGCAAATGGAACCAATAAAAAATGTGCTAGATTTCTTTTACTGGGATTCAACAGATCGACCTTGTAAACAGCTTATAACTACTGAATTATACAATACGACTTCTATGTTGGATTCTGAAGTCCCTTGGACTTTTTCCTTATCCTCTTTGTGGGAAGCTATTACTAGTTCCTCCCAGTGAAAACCCTTATTGGCTATATTAATAGCAATCCTGCTGACCGTATAATTTGGCCCATGTATTAACTGTTTCTTTAGCTTTGTCTCCTCCAGACTCAAAGCTATATGGCTACCAAGAGGACAATGCCTGGCACCTATCAAGGGCCTTTAGATTGACTCTCTGTAGAGTAGCTCTTAACTGCTGATCACAGTTACAACCCTCTTCACCTGAAAGTTGCAGAACGGTCATCACCCTTTGCCCCCTCACAACAGTTAGCGGTACCTCTTCAGAGGAGGAAATATAATAGATAAGTAAGTTAATTAGATACCTTGTTGGCAGGTAGAAAGGGGCTCCCTTAAGGCACCAGCCCTCCAGGAGCCAGCACAGCAAGGAACCAACAAGGAGAACAATTGAGGCACATTCACTGTTCAGCGTTATAAAAATGAAAAGTACTACTTCCCCTAGAGATAGATAGCAGTGATTGATATTCTAAATGGGAAATTCCTTGTATGTGATTTTTGTCTTCCCATTTGATTCCCATTTAATCAATATTGCCTGGGTGACTATACTTGTAATCTTATGGTTGGTGATGGTTTTGTTCCACCTCATGCCCACCTTGTAAATTTTCATTGGGTCTTATAGTTTTGTCCTACTTTGTACCTGTCTCACTACATGACTTTGCTGTATAAAACATCTTTGAAAAATGGGGTGGGCGGGCAACCCACTTTCTGGTTCCCCTTCTGTCTCTCTTAGGCAGAAGCTTTCATTCTCCCAATAAATTTTTCCTACTCTTAAAAAAAAAAAGTTTCAATATTTACTTATCTCTACATTGAAATTTAGTCATAAAAATGGTTTTTAAGATCCCCTATATTTTTTTTTGTTGTTGTTACCAGGGATTGAACTCAGCACCTTGTGCTTTCAAGGCAGGTGGCAGCGCCACCAAGCTAAATCCCCGGCCCATCTTCTTTACTTTTCATATTGATGATGCACTTTCAGATTTACTCTTACCATAATATCATAACATAAAAATACTTAATACCTGAAGACTCTATATGCTACTCATTCCAACCAATGGATTGGGCTGTGACCTCTGAAATGGAAAATAATGCGGGAAAAGAAAATGGCACTAATGAGGTAAAATCACTGATTGAATCTATAGTGCTCTGCCCTGTGGCCATAGCTATTATATTGTCCACAGTCACACTTCCTACAGATTAGCTTTTTGTACAGGGAAATTAGCCAAATTGTGGATAGGTGACAGTGGTAGTTATAGCAGCAACTGTTTACTGAGCATTTACTATATGACTGGTTCCATTCTGTTTTATACAAATTTATAAATCCATTGAGCTTTCATAGTCCCATAAAATGCATACTTGTTTTAATCCCTTTTTTACAAATGAGGAATTTAAAGACTAAGGAAGTTGAGTAACTTCCTCAGGGTTGCACAGTTTGAATAATAACCATATATTGGAATCAGCAAATTACAGTTTGCAAGCCACTCTAGACTAATACTTATTTTATGAATTATTTTGCTCTTTTAATAAGGGTTGGGGGGAATCAAAATATTTCATGACACATGAAGACTATAAAATTTCAGTGTCTGTAGATAAAAGTTGATTGGAATATACTCACGCACATTTATTTATTTTATGCATCAGCTTTCATGCAACAATGACAGAGTTAAATAGTTGTGACAGACTACCTGACCCACAAAGCCTGTAGTATTTGCTCTTGGGTCCATTACAGAAACAATTTCCAGCACTACTCTTGATGAAATTGTTGAAAATATAAACTTTCCTAATAACTATTAGAGTCAGTGAGTGTCTTTTTTAGGAAGGGCAGAGTAGCCAATTTATGTCTGAGGTTATACCTTAATCTTCAGGGGTTACATTGTTATAACTGTTTTTGTTAATGAGAATTTACTAATTTTTTTTTTTTCTTTTTGCAAACAGGTTCAGAAACTTAGTCTGGTGGCAGTAAGTAAGTGTGAACTTTATTCTGAATTTATGCCTGTTTGGTATCCTTTTTATTGTAACATCAAATCCTGGATGGAGGGAGCATAAGCCTACATAACAAAAACCAAAGTCCAGGACAGGGTCTTCAGATAGTGTTTCACAACATTGACTTGGAAGAGTACAGGCTAATTCTTTTTTAGAATGTCCTTCATGAGTTTTTGTGATGCTTCCTCATAGTTAGATTCAGGTTATATATGCACTTTAGCAGGAAAAACAAAGAAATGATGCTGAATTGTCAGTGGATTGTATCAGGAGGCACAAGTAGTTGGTTAAATCTATTCCTGACAGTGATAACTTTGATAGTTTGGTTAAAGTGGTATCTGTCAGGAGGCTCCATTTTAAAGTTACTGTATTGCCTAGTGTAGTTAATAAATATCTTGTAAGATGCATTGAGGTTGTATAAGTAACCTGTTGCTCTTTAGAGTTTCACCTGCTGCTCTTAGTATGTAGTGATGATACTTTCCTGAATCAGTTATTAGTATAATGGTTGCTTAATAGTACTTTTTGTTTTTATCATTTTCTTGTAAGGAAGAGTCTTACATTTGGGTATTTTTTTCCAGTGGGAAGATTTATTTTTTTGAACAGTTTAATAGCATAAAGGACTTGCCAGAACTGAGAGGTACTAGTTTTGCCTTCACACATGAGCTTTGTGAGAGAAATACAGGAGACCTATAAGGAATCCACTGTCTCATAAATTTATATTTTTTTAAAAATTAGAAGAGAAGAAAGATATGTGGGCCGGGGATTTAGCTCAGTGGTTTCGTCGCCTGCTGCGCAAGTGCAAGGACCCAAGTTCGATCCCTAGTACCAGAAAAAAAAAGAAAGATATGTAACATAACTGGAATACAAAATTGAATGATAAACTTGTAAAAGTAGTATTAAGGAAACTAAATCAAAATGAAACATGCTACATAAAAACACTTAAGGCCATCCTCTATCTACCAACCTCCTACCTCCAAAAGAAAAAAGTCGTATGTCTATATTACTGAGAGAGAAATCAAGAAATCACACCATATCAGAAATGACTAGGAGTGATAGGCATATTTACTTGAGAGTAGACTGAGTGGAACACATATTGTCTTTAATTACTTTAAGCATTAACATGTAAAATACCATATGAAGTTCTTGAGGTAGGTCCAAAGGGTAGATGTGTATCTAGGTCTTGATTTACTTATAAATTTTTTCTGGAGTCACTGGTGAACTGTATGTTCTTAAAGAAACTCACATGTAGACTGCATGGCCGTCTGCCAGAGTTTTATGTATTGAGTGATAATTTTTTCCGAATACTTAAAAGAGCTTTTCAATTCTTTTTTTTGTTTTTGTTTTTTAATTTTGTTTTTGTTTTATTTAGGGGGTTAACCTTGAGTGATCTGTTCCTAGAGTAGGAAGTGCCTGAAAGGAAAAAGGAAAAACTCAGATATAACTTTTCTGGGGATCGATAATTCCATATCACCAGGCTCATGGTGCTAGCAGAATCTAACAGATCTCATTATGGGATCCTCACCTTTGATGCACTATCATGACTAAATGCCAAACCCGTCTCCTGAAGCAGCAATAACAAGTCCATGACTGATACACATTTGTCTCAAATGCATGAGAGAGAAACATCAAAAGAACAGGATCATATTATACCTTTTGGTTTTTTATAGCCTCCTTTTTGGGAATTCTTATGGTAGTTCCCATTAACCCAGCTTCTCTGAAACTGTGTTAACAAAGATATTAATAGGTATTATATTGGATCCCCTGAAAAAAAAGTTCAATGGTGAAATAAGTTTGAGAAATGTTATATACATGGTAAGTTATAAAGTCCTGCTTAAAGGAACATAATTAGTTTTATTTAAATTGCTGTCTCCTGAGCTTATGTAACCATAGAACCCTCTTAAGGAACATCCATCTCTCAGAACTGTGGAAAAACTGCTTGGGCTGGGGATGTAGCTCAGAGGCACTGTGCCCACATGCCAAGTGCAAGGTCCTGAGTTTGATCCTTGATACCAAAAAAAAAAAAAAAATCAAAAACTGCTTAATCATTTTTATAAAAATGTCTCATCTCAAGAATAAGAAAAAGCTGGCCAGGGATTTACCTCAGTGGTTCCACCGCCTGCCTCACAAGCCCAAGGTCCCAAGTATGATCTCTGGTACCAAAAAAAAAAAAATGTATTTAAGTAAAAATCAAAGCTAAGAGTTTTGACTTCAACCATATAAATGTCTAGGATTTGTAGATACACACAATTTTAAAGAATTGAAAAGCTGAGCCTGTTAGCCCACCCCTGAGATGTGGCGCTGGAGGATGATCAAACTTTCCCAGGACTGCAAGGGAAGAATGCAGACGATCAAATATGTGATTGGTTGTAGAAGATGGGGCTGTAGGTAAGACCTGCCTTATCATCAGTTATACAACAAATGCCTCTCCTGAGGAGTATATCCCCACCATCTTTGATAATTGTAGCACCCAGACATCTGTGGATGGCCAAATCGTTAGCCTGAATCTGTGGGATACTGCTGGCCAAGAGGAATATGACCAACTGCAAACACTGTCCTACTCTTAAAATCAACATTTTTGTCATTTGTTTTTCCATTGGCAACTCATCCTTTTATGCCAATGTGAGGCATAAGTGGCATCCAAAGGTCTCCTATCCTTGCTCCAATGGACCTGTTCTGCTGGTAGGCACCAAAAGGAACCTGCAGAATTACCCTGAGACAATGAAGAAGCTGAAGGAGAAGAGCCTAGTGCCTACAACTCCTCAACAAGGCAATGCCCTGGCTAAGTAGGTGGGGGCTGTGAAATATCTGGAATGTTCAGCCCTGATGCAGGATGGGATACATGAAGTATTTTGAGAAGCTGCCTGGGGTGTGCTTCACCCCGCCACAAAAAAAGAACACCAAGGGGAGGGGGATTTAGCTCAGTGGTGCAGCCACCTGCCTTGCAAGCACAAGATCCTGAGTTCTATCCCTGGTCCCCCCACCCAAAAAAAAAGAACACCAAGAAGTGTATCATCTTAAAGCTTTGGGGTGCTATTTGAGACTGCACTTAAGCAGTATAAGAGGAGATTCCTTTGACATCAGCTGACAGTGCCAACATGAACCATTTGACTCTTCCCCTAGAAACCCTAGACTACTAGTTATTCAGCTTTTGGAAGAGTGAAGACAGACTAGTTTGTACATGGCTACTTTGATCTGAACCTTTTGGAGGAAGTGTGTGTGTGTGTGTGTGTGTGTGTGAGAGAGAGAGAGAGACAGACAGACAGACAGACAGACAGAGAAATGTGTCTGTCTCCCCTGTCAGAGTAGTAAGAGGAGATCCCACTAAGTGCTGTCAGTGCTGTTCTGTCCTCTCCTGGCCAGCCGATGGCTAAGTAGAGCAATCTAGTACTGTTCTTATTAGGTGTTTGTCTGCTTTTAAGTCTGATTTTGGCTTTTTCTGCTACATTAACCATCAAGCAAGTGCTTCACCAAAAGACAAGATCATCCAGTTTTCAAATCATTGCCTTAGCCAGGCGTGATGGCACACACTTGTGATCCCAGCATTCAAGAGGCTTAGGCAGGAGGATTGCCTTGAATTCAAGGCCAGCCTGAACTGCATAGCGGGACCCTGTCTCAAAAACAAAAACAAAATCGTTGCTTTAAACCTCATTTTTCATTGTTTCTTTTTCTATTTTTTTAGTGATCCCAAGGGTGGCTGGGTTTCAAATATATGGCCTCACTCATGCTAAGTGCTCTACCACTGAGCTATATCCCCAGTCCCTTTTTCTTATTTTTTTTTGGTACCAGGGCTCAAACTCAGGACCTTGAGCTTGTGAGGCAGGCGGTGGAACCACTGAGATAAATCCCTGGCCAGCCTTCTCTTATTCTTGAGATGAGACATTTTTGTAAAAATGATTAAGCAGTTTTTGATTTTTTTTTTTTTTTTTTTTTTTTTGGTATCAAGGATCAAACTCAGGACCTTGCACTTGGCATGTGGGCACAGTGCCTCTGAGCTACATCCCTGGCCACTTAAATACATATTTTAATATTATAGCCATGAAAAATATATGTGTGTATATGTGTGTATATATATATATATATATATATATATATCTCTAACATTTCTATTTATTCCAAGAGCTTTAAAAACCCTCATTTTACACTTTACAATAGGTAATTCTGTTCCTCAGGACATCTGCTGTATGGCAGCTGATGGGAGGCTAGTCTTTGCTGCTTATGGGAATGTTTTCTCTGCATTTGCCCGTAATAAGGAGGTTTGTATCGTTGAACTATATTAACTTGTACAGGTTTTTTTCTTCCTAATGTTTATTCAGTTTTCTAAAGGAAGAGAAAATTGATTTCACCTAAATATGTATTTGTATGCTTTATGTACACATATTCATCATATATGGTTCATATGAAGAGACTTTAATGAGGGAACTACTAATGAGGTCTGGTGAGAATTAGGGGAACAAAGTAGGGGTATGGAGGCCTAAGTGGCTCTGGGAAGCTGTTACCACCCATAGGACCAAAGGTAAAGAAAAAGAAATAATGTTATTGCAGAATAATGAGAACTGAAACCATAGAGGAGGGCATGTAGTAATGGAGAGATAGCTATTCTAAGGGTGTTCTGTGTCAAAGCAGAAAGGTATAGGGGAGAAGCACTCTACAGCCCCCTCTTCCATCTCATTTGGAGACTGGCTGGTGATAGAATCTGTACAGGTCAGCCTTTTAGAACTAGTAACATTTCTTTCTAGTGCAGGAAGTTGCATTGGTTGAACTGGATAAGGGACCTAGATATGTGTTTGTGCCTCTTCCCTAACCTCATTAGGGGGCTGAGCCCTTAGAGATCAATCTGAGGACTAACATATCTATGTTAGTCCATGCTTTACTTCCTTATTATTGATCGGGCTGAGGGAACAAAGAACATGGCTAGTTCCTTGCTATTTGGACTACATTTCTTAACATGAGCATTTTTAGGAATAGCATGTTTTTTGGATAATGTGACTTAATACTATTTGGTGAATGAGTAATAATGTGAAATTCTTTTTAACTTTGACAGGTAGTACATACCTTTAAAGGTCATAAGGCAGAAATCCAACTTTTGCAACCTTTTGGAGATCACATTATCTCTGTTGATACTGACAGCATTCTTATTATTTGGCACATATATTCAGAAGGTAAGAACTAACTAATCATTTCCTTTTCCTTGGGGTAGTAAATACAATTTCTATACCAGAGGTTTCACATGTAAACAGTTAAAGAAGAAAAAAGGTTCTATTTATAACCTATTTAATGTGTTCATGTCAACTATAGCATTTTCCTTTACTGTTCTCTGAGGTGTTATTATTTTCTCTGTGGAATTAATTTTGATATATAGTCATACCTGTGTAATTACTTGTGGGTTTTTTTTTTGGTACTGGGGATTGAACTCAGGTCCTTGTGCTTGCGAGGCAGGTGGCGGAACCACTGAGCTAAATCCCTGGACCACATACCTGTGTAATTATTGATGAGTATTTTCAGCGTGTAGTAGAGGAAATTATAATAGTAAACTTGAAGAGCTTGTAATCTGAAGGAAAAAGTGCATTCTTTTTTGAAGGATATGAAGACTGTATTTTCACAGGTTAAAAATTTATCACCAAAATATCCCCAGCTTTCTTTACTAAAATACTAGGGTTCCATTATGAATTAATCTTTTAAGTTCTTTAATCTATTTACCTCTTTGTTATCTGTTGTTCAGTGTAGTATGTTTATTTTTAGTAAGTATCCTAGAACAGTTTTGTGTAACTTTTAGAGCTTTCAGTGATATGAACAGCCCTCTTCAGCATGTGTGCCATAGGTTTGCCACCATTGTCTTAGAGATTACCTTTAAAGGAGTTATTCTGTGTTTTTATTCAAATTAGCAAAACCCCCTTTGTTTTGTTTTACTTTTGCTCAAGTAGGGGGATTAGCATTCCAGGAGAATTCTCTATGAAGATGAATGTTAAAAGGCTGAATAGGGCTGGAAATATAGCTCATTGGCAGAGCACTTGTGTAGCATACATGAGTACTGTTAATCCTCAGTACTGTTTTGTTTTTGTTTTTACTCTTTTTAAAGCATTTATAAAGTTACAGAATCAGACTCTTAAAACCCAATAGCCTCTGTCTGGTGCTGATGCCATTTTCTTGCTGTTAACAGTATCATGTGTTTTAGGAGTTCAAAGAATTTTTTGATCTTGCAGGAAATGATTACTGTACTTGCTGTGGCACTTCCCACCACTCTGTGGGGTTATAAGTTCTTTTCCTCTCCTATTAGAGATTCTTCTATGGAAATGTATAAGAAGCACCATTCTTGGTTTCACTGAGGTTTGGCTCTTACTTTTCATACCTTTCAAATGGCTCACCAAGCTTTCCAGGTGTTTGGCTCTTGATATAGAGCATTCACTCACTCATGAATCTTGATCAAATTATAAGATATTGGCAAAGAAACAGACCCAAGGATCAGTGGAACAGATTAGAAGATGCAGAAACAACTCCAGACACACTCAGCCACCTCATCTTTGACAAAGGAGCCAAACACCCTCACTGGAGGAAGGATAGCCTCTTTAATAAATGGTGCTGGAAAAATTGGGTTTCAACTTGCCAAAGATTAAAACTAGACCTGTATCTCTCACCATGCACTATACTAAAATCAAAATGGATTAAAAATCTAAATATTAAAACAGAAACACCAAATCGGCTGGAAGAGAGTTAGGTAGAATTCTTTTTTCTTTTTTTTGGTACCGGGGATTGAACTCGGGACCTTGCGCTTGTGAGGCAGGCCGTGGAACCACTGAGTTAAATCCCCGGCCCTAGATAGATCTCTTGAAGACACTGGCATAGGAAAAGATTTCCTCAGTTCCATGTGAACTAGCACAAAGAATCAACAAGTGGGATCTCTTCTTATTAAAAAGCTTTTGCACAGCAGGAGAAACCACCACCAGTGCAAAGAGACTTGTGGGAAAAACTTTACCAGCTGTTCCTCAAACAAAGGTCTACTATCTAGAATATATAAAGAACCTAAAAAAAAATCAGACCTCCCAAATTTAAAGACCCAAACCAAAAATTGGCATCTGAAATGAACATACATTTCTCATACAAAGAAGTAGAAACAGCAAATAAACATATGAAAAAATGTTCAACATCACTGGTCATTTGAGAGATGCAAATGAAAACAACACTGAGATCCCACCTCACCCCAGAAAGAATGGCTGCTATCATGAAATCAACCAATAACAAATGCTAGCTGGGATGTGGGGAAAAAGGAACCACTGCTCCACTGCTGGTGAGAGTGTAGACTGGTGCAACCATTTGGGAAATCAGTATGGAGATACCTCAAAGAACTAAGACTAGAGGTCCCATTTGACCAGCTATTCCACTGCTGGGGATCTTCCCCAAAGAATTAAAAGAATCATACCACAGTGATATATGTGCATCCATGTTATAGCAGCACAGTTTATAATAGCTAAAACTTGGAAGTAGCCCAATTGCCCATCAACTGGAGACTGGATAAATAAGATGTGGCTTTTTAATAAAAATGGAGTACTACTCAGCCATAAAGAATGAGAAATTAGAGACATAGCTAAATGGATGCACATTGAGGCCATACTCTTAAGTGAAATAAATAGGACAGATGTGTAAATACTGAATGGTTTCTCTGGTGTGAGAAACTGAAAGTTTTAAGTAAGGATCAAAATGTGTAACAGATTAATATGAAATAGGAAGAAAAAGTCCAAAGGGGGAAGTGGGAGGGGTAGGGGAAAGGAAAGAAGGGAAAGGAATAAATACGAGAAAAGGAAAAAACAAAGTCTTTGTAAATAGGGAGAGGTGGAGGGGTTGAAGGGAGGGCAGGGGAATGGGGGAAAAATAATCAAGATATATCATGTAAAGGTACAAATTCCCAATAATGAATGTCAGCATATTGTATACCTAAAATACACCAATAAAATTAATGAAAAAAAACATTGAGAGTATTAATGCTGATCCCAATGATCACATTTGATCCTTTTTCTTTTCTATAAAGCAGTTTGCAGTAAAATATGAGTTTTAGAACTTGTAGATAATTTTTGACAGACTAAATTACATTTACAGGTTGTCACTGTCACATTTATTTCTCACATAATATTGGTAGATTATTTTATAAGTGTTTGCTTTCTGTTAGCATATGATTGTCATATACTTTTAAGTGATAAGAATATGGGTATATTAAACATTTTAAATTATTTTATAAAAGTAATTACATGTTATTTATAACTTTCATTTTTGTAGAAGAATACCTGCAATTGGCTTTTGATAAATTAGTTTTCAAAATTTCTGCAATTTTGCATCCAAGTACCTATTTGAATAAAATACTTCTGGGCAGTGAACAAGGAAGCCTGCAGTTGTGGAATGTTAAAACCAAGTAAGCACTTTATTTATAAAATAACAGAGGTAGTTGTTACTTTGTCCTCCTCTACTACTTCCTGCTGCATTCTTTTTTTTTTTTTTTTTTCCTGGTACTGGGGATCGAACTTGGGTCCTTGTGCTTGCGCAGCAGGCGGCAAAACCACTGAGCTAAATTCCCGGCCCCCTGCTACATTCTTAAGTCTCTGAGTTCTTCTTGCCCTTTTGTATTTATATGGAGCCTATCAATAAATATGGCTGGTTTTGAAGTTCTTGCTCATGGTGTCACATATTCAAAAAAATGGCATGTGGTCTTGGCACATGATAGGCAGCTTCATAAGTGCTCACTAACTAAAAAGTATTTATTAATGCCCCATTAACTGGAAAAGAATCCATATAGGTATAGAGAAGGCTCTGGTAAAATAATGTTATGAGATTATCATTCAGCAGCATCTGGTTTTTGATAAACTAAAAAGGAAAGAGATAATAAAGCAAATAAGTAGTAATTTAGTGTTTGTATTTAGAAATGGTTTTCAAGGAAAAATACTTTCATAAACCAGTATGGTAAATATCTGCTATAGTATTATTGACGTACATGGTGTAGCGTTAAATAATATTTGACTACTCAAAGTTTCTTTCCAAAGACCTTACAAATTCAAAAGGGAAACTTTTTTTTTTTGGTATGAGGCATTGAACTCGGGACCTTGCGCTTGCAAGGCAGGCAGTGGAACCACTGAGCTAAATCCCCAGCCCAAAAGGGAAACTTCTAATGTTTATCCTAATTCCTAGTTTTGAATCACTAATTTCAGTTCAGTTTAACAACTACCATTGACTGCCTGCTCTGAGCCAGACTCAGGTATATCTACTGTGCTCTTAAGGTTATTTCCTTAGGTCATTCATGTGATGCTTACAATTCTTTGTTATACTTTAAGTATCCATTGCATAAATTTTGAGTAATCTGGGCCCATTTGCAAAATTTAATACAGGGCTTGGTACTTTAATGATTATTGAGGATTATTACTCTCTGCTTTATGGACTTACAATTTATCTTTTGAATCTGAACTATTAGCATCAATCACTGTGATCATAAAGTAGTTCATGTAACAACATACAAGTACTATTTTGTTAAAAGCTAATATACTGTATTCTCTTTAGTGTTAATGTTTCTAGAGAAATATTGCAGAGGAAAATGAGATCTGCCTATAGTATAAGATTTTTTTATTATGGTCTAAATAAAATGGTATTTTTACTCTGTAATTTTTCTTTTACTTGAATAATTTTTTTACTATCCATTTGCAGCCTGGGGTCTAGAATGCATCTAGATCCTATTACTTGGGTAGCATTAGCTTATTTTGCTCGTTTTGCTCAATTTGTTCAGTTCCATTTTCTGGAAAATGGGGGTAATATTTTACCTTACTCAATTATTTTGAGTATTATATAAGTTAATACATGTTTTATGATAGTAGGTGGTGAAGTAGTACCTCTTATCATTTCACTTTTTAATATGTGATACATTTTTTTTTCCTTAAAAAAATAACTTTCAACTATTTTTCTTCTTGTAGTAAACTTCTATATACATTTCCAGGGTGGAAAGTTGGAGTGACAGCTCTTCAGCAGGTTAGTAATTTTTTGTTAGAGAAGAAGAGATGTTAGTAGTGGGGTAGTTTAGGTTTAGGGATCAACATATTTTTAGACTTAAAGACAAAATAACAGTATAACTTGGTTTATTTTTATAATAGTTACCCCGAGGAAATGGAATTTTGGAAGTGTAATTGAAAACAAGTAATGACATCTTTGCCTGTAAAACTTTTTGGAATCTTTTGTGGTTAGAATTAGGCTCTAAACCTGTGGTTGCTGTGTAACTTTGTTTATGAATCATTTTGCAAGCATGTAGTTTAGTGCTTTATGAGTTTAGTAATGCAAGAGAAACTGTAGGTCATACAGAGAAATTTCTCAGGATATTGAGATTTGTGATTTGAAATAATTGGGCTCAAAATACTAATGTTTATTCAATGGTAGTCTCTTCCAGAAATAACTGATTTTTTGTTTTTATGAGTCAATAAAACATGTATGAATGAATAAATGAATGTCTTCAGAGAACCTGGTGTGTCCATTGGTGGCACAAACATTGAACCCTTATTTTTCGAAATAGCCATTGCCTACACCTGCCCGGTTTATTTGCATTCCCACATCCCCTCTCACTGCGGTCAACCTTGCTCTACTTTTGCTTGTCCAAAAGAACCCAAAGGCATCAGATGAATCAGTCCCTTGAAGGCAGGGCATAATATTGATTTTAGGGTGTTTAGCTTCTACATAGGGTCTCACATAAAATAGGCACTTAATGGCATATTAATGAAATGTTTTGCCTGATTCTCTGCTAAATGATATTGGGCACTCAATTGAGAAATTTGTAATAGAGCCTATGTGTTAGACCATTGTAAGTACTATTATAGTACTATTATAATATAGTACATTATAGTACCAGTATCATAGAACATTAGTGCTGGAACAGACTAGTTTTACAACTTTTTTACTTTTTAGCTTATTTTACAAGTTTTTCCTATATGCCTTGACTAAAACCTTCGCTTCCTTTGTAGTTGACCACTTATAGCAAGTCTTTATATATTTTCTACGACTGATCTCTTTTCTGTTTCATCTGGTCAGTGATCTGTAGTGATTTCACACATTAGCTTCCTTTTCTGTGTGACTTGTTACCAGGTCAGCTTTGTTTGGGGGTTGGGAGATGTTGAATGGCAGAATTGAAGCTGGGAAGTAATTGGAAAAATCATTCCTAAATGCGTCCATGTTGAATAACAGTTAAAGTATGCCAGAATATAATAGTTGTGAAGGTTATTTTGCAACCTTTAAGAAGGCATTTTATTATTTCTTTTGATAATATGTAAGTAATAGTACATATCATCAAGATTATTAAAGCTTTGTTGCTTAAGAAAATAAGTTGAGTAATTTAATTTTCAGGCACCAGCTGTGGATGTTGTTGCTGTTGGTCTTATGTCAGGTCAAATTATCATTCACAACATTAAATTTGATGAAACATTAATGAAGTTTCGTCAAGACTGGGGACCCATTACTTCAATTTCATTTCGCACAGGTAACTTGCTTATTTATAAAAATTTAAAACACTTGAAATGCTTTAAAGATCATGGAAATCTTCTTAACAGATATTTTCTTACAGTTTAGTAGAAGTTAGTGAAATACTGCAGGTAAAGAAAAATGGAAAGACTATTGGTATAATCTTTTTAACTTTATTATAAATTAAAAGGGAGAGAGAGTTGTAGGTTTTATTTTAAGTATGTTTTTCTTAACCTGTTTTATTTTAATAACAGATGGTCATCCAGTAATGGCAGCTGGAAGCCCATGTGGCCACATTGGACTCTGGGATCTAGAAGATAAAAAATTAATCAATCAGATGAGAAATGTACACTCTACAGCAATTGCTGGACTGACGTTTCTCCATAGAGAGCCGCTTCTTGTCACAAATGGTGCTGACAATGCTGTCAGGGTATTTTATGATTATTTTTGTTCTTTTCCTGACTGATCTACCTCCACTTTGGGTTATTATAAGCCTGCCTTAATGTATCAGATTTGAATGTAAAAAAGGAAAAGAATATAGAATGAGGTACTGGTAATGATTTCAGTGAAGTAAAAAAGAATTGCATCTTATTTTTTTCCCAACACCTAGTCTGGGGTCAGTGATCTGGCAGGCTCTACCCAATGCCAGTACTGATTTCTGTAGTAGCCTAATGACTTGCAGATCAGATAGCACCTGGTAGAAAAACATTATCATTTTATGTCTTGGCAGATATGGATATTTGATGGTCCTGCAGGTGAAGGCCGACTTTTGAGATTCAGAATGGGACATAGTGCTCCTCTTACCAGTATCAGATATTATGGACAAAATGGACAACAGATTCTAAGTGCAAGTGAGTTTCTACCATCTATCATTGTTATTTCAGTCAGTATTGAGAGGTAGAAACTCAGTATTCATTCAGTTTGTTATTTACACATTTTTTAATTGAAGTGTTTCAATTATCCCAAACTATAACATTGGACTTTTTATAGAACCTAATTTTATAAGATCTGTGATTCACATGGACTGTTGTTTTGATGAAGGCTGATTAGGAATTTCTGTGTGTATCTATAGGTCAAGATGGAACTCTTCAGTCATTTTCCACAGTACATGAAAAATTCAACAAGAGCTTGGGACATGGTGAGTCATTTGCAAGATAGAAAATAAGCTGCTGCTCTCAAAAGAGACATTTTTAGATTCTTGTGACAAAACTGGGAGAGGTTTTAGTATATTGTCTTGGATAAAGAAAAAAATGAGTGGAGGAGGCACTAATAAGATCCTAATATCAGCTGGATGTGGTGGTGCATTCCTATAATCCCACCGCTCAGGAGGCTGAGGCAGGAGGATTGCTGCAAGTTTGAGGCCATCCTGGGCTACATAGTTTAAGACCTATAAAGGCTATGTAGTTTAAGACCTGCCTCAAAAAAAAAAAGGATCCTAATATCAGAGTTGGTGTGAAATGTTGGAAGTAGTGCTATCAGGTTATTAAAAATATTAGGCATCTTGGGTGATAAAAATGTACTGCTACCACCCAGAAGACACTGACAGCCTAACTTGAGCCTGTAACAACAGAATTTTAAATGTGGAAGCAAGCTTAGTTAAAGCACCAAGATAACCAGTGTCTCTTTTTTTGCTGTAAAGGGCTCTTTTATTTTCTTCCTATGGTTTCTAGCCTCTGAAAGGTCATTCAATAAAAATGGTTTCCAGGGTATTCAATAGTCATCTTTTTAAAGTAAATATCCTGGCCATTCATATAAGTATATGCTTCCAGGTAAATTTTAGAATCATTTTTAGGTTAATATGTAAAAAATTCCTCCTGAAATTATATTGGAGATATTTGTTATCTTTTAAGAATCATCCAATCTAGGAATATGATATATTTTCATTCATTGTCTTTTATATTAAGTTTTCTTCATGTTGGTCCTACAAATATGATTTTATTCAGTGACATTGTTACTATAAATGAAATCTGTGTTCACTGTATTTTTGATTATTGCACCAGTGTTAGGAAGTTAGTGGGCTTTCTTATGAATTGTGATCAAAGTATATGGTGAATGTTCAAATTAAAATTTAATATAGTAAAAGACATTTTCATTAATTCCCTTCAAAGTACTCCTTTTCTACTTCTTTTCTACTTTCTGAAGCAGTTCTGGAAGTTCTTACTGGAGAGTGTTTCTGATCAGAAAAACAGTGAATGATGCTCTTTGGTGCCATGCAATAGAAAGGCAGGCTCATGAAAACATTAGTATGTCCTCATTTACCTTATTCATTGGATCTGACACCATATGTCTTCTGACTTTTCCCTAAAGTCAAAATGACCATGGAAGGTAAAATGTTTTAAATCAATTCAGGACATTGAGGAAGCCATGACAGTACAACTAAAGACACCCGTGAAAGAGGACTTCCAAAACTGCCTCAGAAAGCGGCAAGAACAATGGGATCTGTATATTCAAAATGAAGGGCAGTATTATTAGGGGGATTAATATCAATGTGTCTTTTCCTGTAACATTTTAAAAATATTTAAACATTCATTGTATTGCTTGATCATGCCTCAGATTCTGTAACTTAACCCAGTGAAATTTATTCTGATAATTACCAGATTTTCAGTTATTTATAGTTTGTAATTTGTTTTCATGTCTTAATTACATAAACCAGAAGTAAACAGCCAGTGGTAATGATTACATTCTTGTTTTGCTCCTGACTTTAATAGGAATATCTTGAATGTAGTTTTGTGACAATGAAGAGATTGTTATGAATATATATGCTTTTCATTAAAATAAATAATCATAGGTATTACCCCTTAACCCTAACCCCAGGATTAATAAATAAAAAGAGAGTCAAACGTAAAGGACTTCAGAATACCATGTCAGTAAGACTTCCACCTATCACAAAGTTTGCAGCTGGTAAGTAGCTTCATACTGTGTTTTAAGAAATTTTTTGTTGTTTTATACTTATTTCTTCCATTTTAATAAATGTGTTGACAAATATTAATGTTTAGAAGGTAATCCCAGGTTTATGCTGATTTTATGTAAGATTAAAAATGAGTTATTTGTAGCATGAATTTATTAATTTCAGGTTTTGGTTTTTCTATAACAGCTACTATTAGTATTATTTTGATTTTATAACTCTTTTCATTCTGTCGTATGGCTGATACAATTAAAGCCATTAATGTAGAAGGGTAAAAACTGAGACAGCACTATGTAAGGACATAGAGCTGAGACTAATCAACACCTAAGTACATTGAAGTCCTAGTATATGTCATTTGAGCAGAGCTTCTTTCCAAGAAGTAAATTTTAGAAAAATATGTGTCGATTATAGTTTAGTGAAAACTCTCAGGAAATAACTGTGTAAATACCATTTCTGTTTTATGGTTATTGTTTCAGGGATGTAACATCCTGATCACTGTTTTTTTATTTATGTTCTTTGACTACTTTTCTGTGTTGTTTTCTTAGAGCCTAAAGGATTTTTCCAAAACATATATCTGAATCATATCATTCATTGACTTAATGAATGATACTTTCAGTAGAGTTTCACTACCTTTAGGATAGACTTTTCTCTCTGTAAGGGCTTTGAAGACTGTAATGCTGCCCCAGTTGCTTTGATGTGTAACCACATCTCCCAAGAAAATACTTCACCTACTTGCTATCCTCAGTTTTGTTTGGTTACTCTTGGGCTTATTGTTGATAGAACCTCCCCAACCTCTGCACTACTAATTTTTACTTGTTTTATTATTTTTTCCCAGGAAGCAATGTATTACTCTTCCAAAATCTCTTCCAAGTGCTCTTATTAAACACTATTTTGCCATTACACTTTCATTATAATTTCTTGTAATGAAAATCTGTCGTTAACATGTAACTTGAGTTAGTCATTCCACAATGTGTACATCAAAACATATTGAACACCATGATATGCAGTTTTTTTGTCAATTAAAAGTAATAACTTTAGGGCAGGGGATTTAGCTCAGTGGTTTCGCCGCCTGCTGCACAAGCGCAAGGACCTGAGTTCGATCCCAGGTACCAAAAAAAGAAAAAGTAATAACTTTATATTGGAAGATCATTATTATCAGAGATAACCTGTTTTACTATTCTATCTCCAGTACCTGATGTTAATGTGGAATATTAGGTGCTTAATAAGAGATGAATGAGAGAATAAAAAATCAGTTTAGTCTATGATTTTAATTATTTTTAGAGGCAGCTCGTGAGAGTGACTGGGATGGTATCATTGCTTGCCATCAAGGTAAGCTATCCTGCTCAACATGGAATTATCAAAGATCTACAATAGGCTCTTACTTTCTCAAGCCAAAAGAATTGAAGAGAGATGACATCACTGCAACAGTAAGTGAACTTGCTTTTTAAGGACATTTTCTCCTTTAAAACTGTCCTCTGATAATTTTGTCGTACACAAGTTTACTAATAACATTGGTCAAGAAACATGAGTTAACGTTTAAAAGTTATTTCCTATTAAGTTGCACAGATTTATTTCACTATTTGAGGTTGGATGTGAAGTAACATCTCGTTGAGATTTTAATTTGCATTTCCCCAAGAATTTATGGTGTTTTCATGTGATTCATGTATCTGTCATTATGCCAGTACTACATTGTCTTGGTTATATTAGCTTTGTAAAAGTTTTGAAATCGGGAAGTATGACTCCTCCAAATTTGTTTTTCTGTTTTTCAAGATTGTTTTGGCTCTTTTGGTCCAGTGAGTTATAAGATTAGCCTGTAAATTTATGACAAAAAAGACAGCTAAGATTTGATTCTCTAGATCAGTTTGAATGTTGCCACTCCTGACCCAGGAACAATTTCTGTCGATGATGTTTTGTACTTGGTAATGTGTGTCTCATGCTTCTTTGGTTAACTTTTTCCTGTATTTTATTTTTTCTTAATTTTATTTTGGATTATATTAATTTTGTATCTTGCAACTTTGGTGGATTTATTAGTTCTGATAATTTCTAAATGGATACCTGTGATTTTGAAAATCCTAAAGAGTATAATTAACCCTATTGTGTACAAATTACCTAATTATGTGTTTTACTCTCCATAGTATGAAAGGCCAGTTTTAAACTTTTATATAATTTTCTAAACCATAGAGATTCTGTTTTAAATTTCTTTAGAAGTTTACCTACACAATTTTGAACAGCAGTTGTAGTAGTAGTGGTAAAGATGGTAGCTTGATATTTTGTGAGTCCTTTGTTCCAAGCTCCTTGTTTGGCAAGTACTTCATATTATTGTTTTTGTTTCATTTATTTATTTATTTATTTATTTATTTTACTTCATATTATTATAACTATTCTGATTTGGTCTGTTAGCCTCTTTACAGATGATGAAACTGAAGCTTAATGTAATGAGTAACTTGCCTATGGTCAATAAAGCTAGTAAGTAGTATGGCTGGTATTTGAGCCTAAGACTACTCATTCTGAACCCTGTATTCTTACACTCTATAGTGATCATTAATGATCAGAACTTTTAGCATATAAATGATTCTTAACTGGTGCTGAGTCCTTTGTCTGACAACCTCAGCTACCTGGAATAAAGCCAGTAACCAGTAAGAAAAAAAATAATTTTTAGCCCATTTACCAAAGTAAAATTTGTGACTCAAAAATACCTCTTAACAGTTTCTTTTCACTTGTTTATTGTGTCATAGAAAATAGAATGAATAAATTGGAAGAGATTGCTGGAAACAGGCACACTAACAATAAATCCTATTAAAAGAAGTTCAAAAAAGGGTAGCAGGATCAGGAGGGGCCTTTATTATAGGTTGTAGCCTACTTTCTCCATTAGTTCCTGAGGAGATAACTGTAACACCACATAAATATGAGTTAATCAAAATGGATAAGATTAAGTTCATGTTCCAGTTAGGAGGATAGTGTGCTTTTAAGCATAGGGTATTATTTCCTGTCTAAAATACTTTTTAATGGAATAAGCTTTAATTATTCAGAAAATCTATGTCAATGTATATACATGAAACATTCTTATGTAATACCATAGAAATGTGTCTTGACTCGCAGAGTGGTGTATCAACTTTATGTGGCTTGGCATAATTAAATATTAAACCTCAAATTTTTTTTTTTTTGGTACCAGGGATTGAACTAGGGACCTTGCGCTTGCGAGGCAGGCTCCAGAACCACTGAGCTAAATCCCTGGTCCCCTCAGATATTTTCTGAATTAAATCTCAGTTATTTTCTGTTTAAGCAGTCAAACTTATCTGTTCATTTAGTTGTAAATTCAGTAGTCTTTTGAATGATCTCTTGAATGAGTGACATTGACTGACACATGGGTAGGTGTTCTTCCTGACTATGATCCAATAAATAAGTAGCCGTTCTTAACATTTTCAACAAGTCATATCCTAATATCTCATAATTAAAATATTTTGGTGTTTTTCATTGAACAGTCTAACTAATGGTATGTTTTCAATTTTATATCAACTTCAGAAACAATTACAAAAGTAAGGTAAAGTAGGAGGAAACGGCCACAGAATGCTTTGCCCAGCTCAGAATAAATTAAAAGACCAGCGTGATAAGCAGTTCTTCTGACTTTGTAAATTTCATTTGCATTAAGTAGTTTTGTTTTGTGTCTCAAATAATTTATATGTACTTTAAGAATGGAAATAAGGTTAAATTATGGTCTTTGGATCTAATTTCTATTCTTCCATCCTTGAAGGCAGTGGATATAACTTCTTGTGGGAACTTTGCTGTAATTGGCCTCTCCTCAGGAACTGTAGATTTGTATAACATGCAGTCTGGAATACATAGAGGAAGTTTTGGCAAGGATCAAGGTACTGAATTTTTGTCATTTTTCTTTTTTATTAAAATAAGTTTTAGATAGGTTATCACAACCCCATATAGCAGATACTATTATATTTGTTATAAACATCATGTTGAACTATTCATAGAGAATGAATTCGTGGGCACATTAGGGGAAAGTAGGTGTTATATAATAAATTAAATTTTTAAAATTTTTTTCTCTGCTTTCAACAGAAAAATCACAGTGACATTTTGGAAGCTCTTTTATGGCACAAACTGATTTGTTTTTTACCCTATCCTCCAAAATCCTTATTAATTTAAAGATTTTAGGGATATAATGGGAATTTCAATATTTAAATAAAGAAATTGCTCCTTATCTGTTGTTGAAATAGGCTTTGCCACTTCTAATTTGTTTTTTCTTTTAATGTGTGCTTAAAAAGCTCATAAGGGATCTGTTAGAGGTGTTGCAGTAGATGGATTGAACCAGTTAACTATTACGACTGGTAGTGAAGGACTACTCAAATTCTGGAACTTTAAAAGCAAAGGTTTAATCCATTCTGTGAGCCTTGATTCATCTCCAAATATGATGCTGCTACATAGGGACAGGTAAATTCTTTAATGATAATAGATTTTCTTTTTGATGTTTTTAGTTTAAGTTCTTAAGTACATAATTTACCGAGTAGAAAAAAATAAGACTGATAAGAATGGCATTTGGTTTAATTTTTTTAAAGCTGTATTTGATGAACAGAATACATGGTCCCAAGATTTTTTGTGTATTAAAGCTGGTGCATTTATCTTGCTAGTGGCATTTTGGGACTCGCCTTGGATGATTTCTCCATTAGTGTTCTGGACATAGAAACTAGGAAGATTGTCAGAGAGTTTTCTGGACACCAAGGCCAAATAAATGACATGGTAAACAAACTTCAGCTGCTTAAACACCTTCACTCATTTCTACTACTTGGGTTAAAAATGTTCGAGTAATTGAATCTGTGCTTTTAATAAACTTAAACTCATATGAAAAAACTTTCAAAATAATAATTTGCAGGGTAATTTGGAAAGATATTTTTAAGGAAAATTTGGCATTAAAAGAAGTTTAATATTTTTCAAGGAATTCTTATCAAATTAAAGTGTAAATCTCAAACTTAACTTTTTCTCTTTAAATAAGACCAAATGTTCTTTGGAATATGAATGCTTCATTGGTACATAAGTGTATCATGTTTTAATATTAAAGCAAACTGAGAGAACTCATTAATCCTTTTCTATATGTCTAGTGAATTAATAGTAGTCTGTACTAATTGATTTATGCTAGATTAGTGTTTATTTCTAGAGTTATATATGATAACTTAAAAAGAATGTAATTAATAAAAATATGATTGGGTATGGCATTATGTTCTTGTAGTGGATACAGTAAAAAGTAACTGGTTTTGAAGGTATATGTTAGATTAAAAAAAAAGGCTTAAGTCAGGCATGTTGGTGCACATCTGTAATCCTAGCATTCTGGGAGGCTGAGGCAGATGAATCACAAGTTCGAGGCTAGACTAGGTACCTCAGTGACTTAGTGAGACCCTGTCTCAAAAGATGTTTAAAAAGGTTGTGGGTGTAGCTCAGTGTGAAGGTCATGGGTTCAATCACAGTATTTAAAAAAAACAAAAAACTAAAATTTATGAATAGAGGATTTTCATATTAAGTATATGTTGTCCTTTGGCATTGATTCCAAATACATCGACTTACTTGAAAAGAAATAAAAGTAAAATCCTTAACTCAACTGCATTTACTTATCATGTCTAACATCAAAAATCAGAATTTACAATGCTTGCCTCTTTCCTTAAAGTAGTGAAAAGAAGTATCAAGAAAATACATCCTGCAACCTGGAGGTTGGAAAAATCCATCAGTAGAATTTGGTAGAAATGGATGGGAGTGGGGTATTGGTGATAAAATAGCTTTTTTTTGTTGTTGTTTTTTTTTGGTATTGGGGATTGAACTCAGGACCTTGCGCTTGAGAGGCAGGTGCAGTGCCACTGAGCTAAATCCCTGGCCCATAAAATGGCATTTTGAAAATATATGTTGGTGTCAACTTGCTCTTCCTGTTTTTTTCCTTCTCAAACTACTTTTCTATTTGGGTGTCTAGAATTTCTCTTGTTTAGTAGTAAGTTACTCCTATTCACTTAAATCTGTGAGGATTTATGACCTGACCTTACCTCTGAGAGTTATTTTTCTCCTGTCTGGTAGTATCTTCCCTACCTTTCTGTAAATTGAACAATTTATCCTCTGTGATTTGAGTTTCCATGCTAACTGCTACAGCCTGATGAACAAATTAATATTTGCCTTATTCCGGTATCATTTGCTAATATGGATGATCATAATCCTTATGATGTGTTTAGATTCTTAGATGAATAATATGCACCTGCTGTGAACCTTAAAATTTTTCCTTTGAGTCCTTCACATCTGATCTGAGTCTCTCAACACTTATGTGCTGCAGGCAAGAAGAGCTAGTATCCATTTTATAGCTAGAAAGTACAACTCTTTTAAAGTGGCCTAAGTAGTTTATTGTTTAAATTACTTTGAAACTCTTTATGATTATTATATTTTTAAATTGTATTTTAGAAGTAATGCATCATTAAGGGAGAAAAGGTGTTTGTTTTTTTTAAATTTTTTTTTTTAATTTTAATTTTTTGCAATTCTAGGGATCAAACTTAGGGCCTTGTATACTACCACTGAACTACAGCGCCAGCCCAGAAAAGGTTACTTTTTTCCCCCAGTACTGAGGATGGAACTTGGGGCGTTTGCTCTGAGCTGTATACCCAGTCCTCTTTTAATTTTTTTGAGACAGAGTCTCACTAAGTTGTCCAGGCTAGGCTGGAACGTGACATTCTCCTTAGCCTCTTGGAGTGCTGGGATTACAGGCATGCTCTACCATCCCCAGGTCAGAAAAAGTTGGGGTTTTTTTGTTTTTTTTTTTTGGTGCCGGAGATCCAACTCAGGACCTTTCACTTGTGAGGCAGGTGGCGGAACCAGAGTTAAACCCCCAGCCCCAGAAAAAGTTATTTTTAAAGCTACAAGTAAATGTGGAAAGACTTTAGTAGTTTTGAATTGATGAGAATTTTCATTTTCTGTCTTCAAAATTATAGTGATTTGCCTTAATTCTTAGAAAGTCAGTCTAAAATAGGTACTCTTTTTTTAATAAATACAACTTTTGTTTCTCTCAGAAATACTTTATAACAGGGCTGGGAAGTAGCTTAGTGGCACCTTGCCTGCCAGGCAAGTGCAAGGTTCTGAGTTCGATCCCTGGTACCAGAAAAAAAAAAAAAGAAAATTACAGAAATACTTTGTAACAGAAATTAAACTAGCAAATCATTTCTAGTTGAATAGTCTCAAGAATAGCCTTTTTAATAATGATTTGTAGTCACGGTTTAACTCTCTAAAATAAATATGAGACTGATAACAAAAATTGGGGTAATTCTTTATTTTTAAAAACTTTTATAATTCATTTAAAAGACTTAATTCTTATCCACGTTCCATATCAGTAGCACATACATAGGAAATAATGTTTTCTTTTATAAAATAAGGTAGTCTGAATTTTATTTTTTTTTTATGACATCTACACACCTCTACACACAGAGCAATATATAAATGCAAATATATCTTTAATTTATTCATTTATTTATTTTAAAGACTTTCAGTCCTGATGGTCGTTGGTTAATAAGTGCTGCAATGGATTGCTCTATTAGGACTTGGGACCTTCCATCCGGGTGGTAAGTTTATTTTTCAATCTCTTAGATGATTTTTCATTGTTTTAACATGTAATTTTTACTTGTAGTTAATGAATTGTGTAGTTAATGAATGTGAATGCAGTTGGGGATTTTCTAACATGACTGTATCTTATCCTTAGAGTGTTTAGGACCTCTAAACAGTAGCATCATGAATTATAATAGGAAAACACAGATTTAGAAGTGAGTTGTGTAAATTTTAAGACAGCTCATTTGGGCTTCTTAATACTTCAAAATGGGGCTCAAACTTTAGGTCTACAAAGTTTTTCTTTGAAAGCTTTTAAAAATTCATATTGAATTTAATGAAAACATCAAAAATCTTAGCTTTTCTTTTTATGTTATATATCTCTATCAGTAGCATAGCAATGTTAGAAAGCTGTTTCATGGAGTGAAATTTGCTACTGATGCAGCAGTTTCTCAGGAATTAGATAACCTCATGTGTGAAAGCAGTCTGACCTTTAGAAAGGAAAAACCCTGATGTTCTCATTTCCTTGAACCTTTGCCATGGGCATGAGGTACACCTACCTATCCAGCATACACACATGTGAAGCGTGCCATTAGTGGATCCAGCTCTAATAAGCAGGGACTTTTGTCCACAGGTGTGTCCTTTTTCACATGAAATAGAATAAAGCAAAATCTGGCTAGCTCCAAAGACTGTACCAAGAGTTGATGTTTCCTAAATTAGCAAAACTTTTTTCAAAGACTATTAGACATATTGGTGGTCTGTTGCTTCTTGGTCTCCTGCTATTTTTTGAAAATGAACATTATGTAATTGAATTAAAGTAAGGAATTTTGACTAGTAGGGTTAAAATAGTGTGGTTTTCATTTTCCTTTTTATTAAGTGTTAGTTCACATTAGCTATGGAGAAATCAGTTAATGTTCAGTAATACTAAACTGGCAAAATATTTTTTTAAAATTGCAAGTTTATCTTTGGAATGGAAGAATTAGGATCTGAAAGTAGCATTCAAAGCCATGAAACTTTGACTCAGCATTAACTCTTGGTGAGTTTCTTATTTTAGTAAAAAGTCAAACATTTAAATCTGATAGGTTTTCAGCTCTAGTGTCATATTTTTAGGTGAACAGATGCCACTTAAGGTTGATAGAGAGGCATGAAGTCTGCTGCAACACAAGACCAAGAAATAAGCCCCGTGGAGATGATAAAATGTAAAATTACACTGGACAAAAATATATTTTTACTAAAAAGTTATTTTGGTTAAGATTTGAAGACCAAATGAGAGCTTAAAAAACAGTATCAAACAACTAATTCTGCTTGATTGCAACTAAACAATCTTTTACCAAGTGCTGCTAGGCACTTTATATACTTTCGTGTTTTTCTATCCTCAAAGTTAGTACTGTTACTGTTAATTACTAGTTCCATTTCACAAGTAAGGAAATGGAGGCTTTAGAGAGAAATTAAGTGATTTGTCCACAGTGGCTTAGTTTATAAATAGTAGAACAAAAAATAAATACAAGAGAAGGAAGTTTTTCTAACAATTATGGTTTTCTTGCTGTAGAAAACAAATAATAAGCAAGATTCAGTATTTTATCATACAACCCTAGGTAACTGTTGAGGTTTTATTTATTTCCCTTTTAAATATAATTGGGATGGTAACCTTTGGAAATTCCTAGTTCTTCCTTCAATAAACATTTTCATCATTTACATAGCATGCTAAATATTTAAAGAATGAATATATTCATTATATAATCTAAAATGAAGCAATTTATAAGTAAACCTTTGAATGCAGTAACATAGTGAATCCATCTGGAATTGTACCTTTCTAAAATAAACTGCATGAGTATCGAACTGTTTCCTGTAAAATTTTTTTTAAATGCTGAAAATTTTTTGTTTGTAGACGTCTCAGAGAGAAATAGTTAAAATATCCGTAAGGTATATGTCATTCACTTCCCAACATCACCATCATTACCACCACTTTCTGTTTCTTTTGGGTTTTTGTTGTTTTACCTAGTGGAAATTCAGATTGAACTCTTTGGAGGGAGTAATAATATAGAACTACATAGTTATATAAAAGAGTTTTGCATTTTCTTTCATCTTCTCATCCTCATCTTTTCTGAGGAGCATTAACATTGGAAGAGTTGGAACAAAGCATCATTTTACATTTCTCACTGAGTCATGTCATGTTTTTGTTGATTCCATTATCTTGGAGACAAAATATACATACACTATAGTCATTTTAACAGAATAATAATCACAAATAGCATACTGAATGTTACATGTATATGCAGGACTCTAATCTTTTTCCTTCAATTGGGGCTATGGTTAATATTCTTTCAAAAAAATTGATTACATAACTAACTTTGCATATTGTAAGTGTATCAGGAGACTGTAGGTAGTTTTAGTAAGTCTGGGATTAAGGCTGAACACTTAAATTATATGAACTAATACAACTGTAAAATAAAATAGGCTGTGTATGTGGAAACTGCCTTCCTCAAATCGGTGCTTTGACATAAAAGAAAGCTAGTCTACTCACAGCACAGCTGTAAAAATGAAGTTGCACAATGAAATTGACAAATTATAGTATGGAATAAAACCAGTATACTCAATCAATAAATTATCTTCTTATCAGATAGATTCTAAACATGTTAGGAAGTTTTATCCTTCACATACTGCAACTTTACATACTGCAGAATAATATTGATCAATACAAAGAGGAAATTAAGATGATATGAAATTGCTGTTTTCAGTTTAATTTTTATTTGTATACACCAGGATAGTATCTTCTGCTCTAGGTTGTTTGGATTAAGTGAATTAACATAAATAATTGACAGTCTCTTACGATAATGTGTTTAGCAAATGTTTCCGTTTCCCTCATTCCCTTAATCCCCAAGAAAAACCATTCTTGTGAGCTTCCAAAGTAGGCCTGAGCAAGAAACAAGGCAGCTTATTACTGCCCTTTTCCTTATCTTGAACATGCTTTGGCATTTGTTTCCAGTACTCCTAACATTAGTATTTTCTTTCCATCTTCTATTCACCTTTGAAGATGTACATTTCTAATGGCTCTTTCAGCAAATTGAGAGAGGTATTTTATTATTGGCAAGTCACTTAATATCTCCACTGGAGAGCCTTTACATTTGAACTGCTCACGATGTTCCACTAGCATAGACATACCCTGTTTGTGTATTTGTTATCACCCTGCTTACTTTATCTTTAGTTTCAGTAGTGGTTTTACCAGCTTTAAAGGTGGTTAAAAGTGCAGACATTTGGGTTCAAATCTTGGCTCACTTGCTCTCTCCCTTGAGCAAGCAAGTTTTAAGTTTTCTGATCTGTATAGGGAGGCCTCATAAGGTGTAAGGATGAGATTAATCGTACACACCAGTGCTCAAGAAACTTCCTAAGAACACTAAAAATCATGTTAGCTGCTGTTACCTCGTTCTTAAAATAATTTATATTATTTAGTGTGGATCCTGAACTTCATTCACTTATGTCTTTCTATGGATAATTATTGTCCTCAGTAAATAAGGATTTTTTTTTTAAGCTCTTTTTAAAACTAGTATAGTTTTCTAAAGATGAGTCTTCCTGGTAGGATGGGGATTACTGTAGACCTTTCTCTTTGATTCGTAAGTCTGCCTGATTTCACTTCTGGTGCCTGCCATCCTAGTCAGTCCTGTATTGCTAAATGATTACTACCAAAGTCTCACTGTTTCTCCAGTTCAAATATATTCTATGCATCCTGATGACAGATTGTCTTATGAAAGTCAAGATTATAGCACTCTCTGCTCAGAAATGTTTAGTAAGTTAACATCAGTTTTGGGATGAAAACAAATTCAAATATTTGGTGCTCAAGACTATATATAGCCTTATGCTCCTGCTTAATGGTTCCACCCAGTTGCACACTCCTTGTATTTTTTACTTTACTCTCCACATTTCCCTTACCAGGAAGTGCCTTCTCTGCCATTAATATCCTTTGAAATCCTGTCCATTTTTAAGGCTCAGTTCAAACATTCAGTTCTCTGTGAGACCTCTCTTGAGTTTCTTTACTTGAGTGTGGTCACTCCCTTTTTTCTCTCCAACTTTCAAACTCCTTCAGCAGTTTAGCGGGAAGGGCATAGGTATTTGTTTGTCTTTATTTTTAGGTTGAGACACATCTCACTAAGTCAGTAAGTTACCTGGGCTGGGCTGGCCTCAAATTTGAGATCCTCTGTCTCAGTCTTTCAGAGTGCTGGGCTTACAGGTCCGCACCACCACACCTGGCTCCTTTAGCACTTTAAAGCTATAAGGCTAGTTCCCCTAAGCTGTGTTCTGACTGACTATTCTCTAAAGACTAAATGTAGTTTTTTCATGTGTAGCATGCTTACTTACTCGGAACACGGTCCTCAAAAGTTTTTTCTGTTACCATTCTCTTATTTAGAGCCATTTTGTTTTATTGCATTCTTCTGTTATCTCACTTTGTTTATTGTCACTAGAATAACAGAAATACTGAAGAGTACTAATTGTGTTTATTTTGAATGTATGATGTCTTTAAAATTGCCCCAATCAATATACCATGATTTCCAGTAGGAAAACAGCATCTAGTCCTTCTGCATTCTCTGTTGGTGAAAGTTCTTGTTTGGTTAATTGGACCATTTAGTGTTTTTGATCTTTCTTGTTAAAGAAGTTATTTTCACATAGTAACTTAGTTGACAAAGCTTTTTGTTAGTGATGACTTTTTGCATATAATTAAAAACACACACAAAATTTTTGTTCTCTTATCCCTTGTTCTTTTAACAAAATTATTTTTTGTGAATTTATCTTTTTTAGTAGAGTATAAGTACTTTAACATCTTAATTCATTTTGTAGCCTTGTAGACTGCTTTTTGTTGGACTCGGCTCCTCTCAATGTTACTATGTCCCCTACTGGAGACTTTTTAGCAACTTCCCATGTGGATCACCTTGGAATTTATCTATGGTGAGTTATTTTATATACTTCTACTCTGGAGGAAGAGGAAGATGACAGTGTTATTGTTGTCAGAGAAGCATGATTGTTAAAATTACCATTTAGTTAAAAAAAATACAATGGAAATTTCACAGATAGTGACACCTTGGTTGTCCAGCGGCTCCAAGCTCGAACTTTGCACTACTCCAACAGCAAAGTTCGAAAAAAACCTGCTTGGTGTTCAAAACTTTGCTTGATAGTCAACTAGAAATCCAACTTGCAAAAACCTGTTTAGGCTGAGTGAGTCACGAGTTGCATCTTGCCACGGACACAAAGGGGTGACGCTTCACTCTAAGCGTCTTTCGCCCAGACAACATATAATACTTGTATTGTTGCATTGAAACTGTCATCATTGTGCTTTTATTTATGATCTATTTGCATAAAATATGGTAACCATGGCTTGAAAGAAAGTTAGTGATATCAGCAGTAAAGCTAAGAGGAAAACTGGGAGAAGCACCATAGAGTAGTTAAAAGAAAGAAATCATTGTGGGCTGGGGATTTGGGGATTTAGCTCAGTGATGCTGCTGCGTGGCTCACAAGTGAAAGGTCCCAAGTTCGATCCCTGGTACCAAAAAGAAAAAGAAAAATTGTGAAATTTGTTGAAGTCCTGGAAAAATGAATTTATAAGTGTAATTTTTGGGCCTCAGAACAATTATTTGATTTTTTCATTGTTTCTTATGGGAAAAATATGTTCAATTCTCAAACTTTTTGGTATTTGAACACAAATTTGGAACAAATTGAGTTCAGCAGCCAAAGTATCACTGTAGTTGACACAGGGATGTAAATCTATGACTGATTCAACATCTGTTTGATAATTTAACAGCTTTGCTCAAGTGTATATTGTATACTACATGATTTTTATATGTTGTCATATTTGCAGAAAAGGTAAGTAAATTCAAAAGGTTTAAAAAACAGCCAGGCCCTTAATTTCTTGCCACTACCCTACCACTGCTATGTGACCTTGGCCGTCCTTTCTGAACTTTAGTCTGCTTTATAAAATAAGGCCTTGGTGTGAGTTAAATGCCAAGATTCATTCTGGTTGCATGACCTTTAACCATTTGAAGATATTTGGCAATTTTAAAATTCTTATTTGAACCTCTAAGGAACTATGACCCCTCAAAATGAAAGATAAATCACCTGGGTCTAGCAAAATTTTTATCTACTTTTTAAATTCAAATATCTATTTAACTCTTTTATTGAGGAAGAGAAAAAATTTTTCATTTTCTAATTCTAAAATGTTACATTTTTAAAATAAGAAAGTAAAGTGGATATATAATGGAAATAGATTTTACTTGATAAGTAAAATAGGGAATCTCTTAAAATCAGTGAAACTTCAGCAGTTAAAATAAGAGTAATAGCTGTGGGACCTCTACAACAGGAATGTGGAGCTTCTCTACATAGTACGATTATTATAACTCAAGACTTGCGATTCCTAATCTTTAATTTTCCATTTGAGATTTATAATGGGTAGGGAAAAGAATATGTCTGTGTTTTGGGAATGTTGCTTGTATTTCTGTTCATTTGATTTTTTTGGTACCAGGGATCCAACTTGGGACCTTGCGCTTGCGAGGCAGGCGGCAGAACCACTGAGCTAAATCCTGGGCCCCTGTTGCCTGTATTTTTATTACTCATCCATGAACATGTAGGGTAAAGTAGCAGGAAAATGGCCACTTAGAAGACCATTCTGGAAAAGGGGAATCCATGACTAGTCAGTATCCCCAAGAGCATAAACAGTGTATTCAGTGTCTGAATCCATCTTTCTTTTATTAATTCCTTAAGCCAGCATTGATATTGTTAAAACAATATGTGGTCACTTTACTTTATGAAAGTATAATTTGCCATTCGTTTCTCTTAACCATATTTTTGTACTATATTAACAACAGATTCCATTAATGTTTTTATGCAGCTTTCTTATGATAATATCCATGACATAAAGGCATTTTCAGATTAAGGCAATTTATCTTTGAGGTCTTTTCCTGACTAGTGCAGTATGTCCAAATTCAAGATTACAGCCATTATTAGCAATTGTTGAAGTTTCTCTGAAGTAATTATTTTTAAACTTTAAAAATGTTCTTTCATTTTGATTTCTCAGGTCCAATATTTCCCTGTATTCAGTTGTCTCATTACGACCACTTCCTACAGATTATGTCCCTTCAGTAGTGATGCTTCCTGGTATTTGTCAAACCCAAGGTAATCACAAAATAGCAAAATAATTTTTGAGGTGTAATTTATTGTAAGTCTAATTTAACAGCTATTGGTACAGAAGGCAAAATTTAATGTATTCAGTCAGAGGGTTTATTTAACTGAAAAATTTAAATGACTTCAGTTTATGCAAAAATATAATTGATATATCTATGTCAAATATACTGTTATAAAAGTATTTTGGGTCTGGTGGAAGTTACAGTTAATGTGAAAAAATAAGAAAAAGGAGCATAAGCAAAGAAAGTAAAACTTAAAAGTTTATAAGCCTATATTGAGGGGACATGTTACAAAATATAAATGGATTTGGGATGAATTAAGTTGCTTTTATATGCTGAAGATTTCATTTTGCATTAATTTGTTTTATCTGAATTTTTTTAAAGATGTAGAAGTATCAGAAGAAAATGCAGAACCAAGTGATGAAATGTTAGAGTATAGTTCACCAGAACAGCTGAGTGAGCAATTAGTCACTCTGTCACTTCTCCCTGAATCACGGTGGAAAAACCTTCTTAATCTTGATGTTATTAAGGTAATACTATAGTATACATAATATTGAGCATTAAGTATACCTACTGTAAGCATTTTTTTAATCAGAGATAGCTTCATGTACTTTGAGGCCTTTAGGAGGGGTAGTTAATGTCTCAGCAAAGACAATGCCATTTAATTGAATGTACTTTACTTCATGTGGTTTTCATAGATAACCCCTGTTTATCAGTTTTGAGAGTACTCTGTAGATGTGAATGTGGCATAAGTACAATCTTCAACTACTGTATAGAGCTTTTAAAAATTCTGTTTTAAAATTCAGTCTGATAAGTTACTTTGTGAACTTCTAAAACAAGAAGGCAAAGAATTGCTACCCTAATACATCTTACTGCTAGATGTTTGAGAGTTAAGGAAATTTCATTAGTTTTTTATTTTATTAAGTTGCAGTTAATCAGCTCACAATCAACTATAAAAAGAATTTTAGAGCTTTCTGTGTAGGGTCAAACATAAGTTTATGAGATAAGTACCAGATAATGTGTACTTTTTCACTGTATATGGCAATAGAAAATGAATTATCCCCCCTTGTCCTTGAAGAATTTTAATTTTTATGTGGTATAAGTTAATGTTTTCATGACCCCAATTTGTGAGTATAAAAAGCAATTGAAAGTGTTGTTAGAGTAGAAATTTTCAAGTTATCTTCTGATAGCAAGTATTGTTTTGTGAAACTCGATATGATTGGATATATGCATAAACATTTACTAGAGCTTGTATTAAGTCACAGTGTGGGCTATGATAAAATGTTTAAGGAACACTGACATAGAAAACTTAAATAAGTAGCAGTAATTATTCTTTGAACCAGAGAAGATGTTTGGGTCTTAAGTAAGAAAGGAGAAAAATTGGGCCCAGGATTTAGCTCAGTGGTTCTGCTGCCTGCCTCGCAAGCACAAGGTCCTGAGTTTGATCCCTGGTACCAAAAAAAAGAGAGAGAGAAAATTTTTTCTTGTTAACTTGAGAGATTGGGCTTGAGCTGGGAATACAACTGTGAAATCTCTCCAGCCTGTTGTCCAATCTAAACTCTAAAGAGAGTACTTGAAATAGTTTTAAAAGCAAGACATTAAAAAGTACAAGTACATGAGAAGAGCAGGCGGAATAATGTCTGGCTAATTGAGCAAAATGCTTCCCAGTAAGATAAAGCACTGCATAAATACATATAAAAATTGAGCTAATTATCTTTGAGCAAGAAATATATTTCTATTTCCTATTGAATAAAAGAAGCTGAAATTTTTTACTTTGTCCTGTGGATAACTTTTCTGCTATTGCATTTCTGTGAAAGATTAATTTTCAGACTCCCTATGGAGCTTTTCTATAACCTTTTGTTTTTTACAAGTCAGCAACTGTCCCTACCAACTCAAGAAAAAGTTAAAAGAGTAACTGACTACATTCAGCCATGCCAGAGGGCTGTGCCTAACACTGCAGTTGGCAGTGCTTTGTCTTGCTTACGTATAATTTCTTTATACATAGCTCCATGAGGCCATAAATATCTCAGGCTTGCTTTCAAATAGTCTTCCTAGGTCAGTGGTGGCAAACATATGGCACTGCGCCTCAGTGGGCTGTTTGTTATCATTGGAAGCTCAAAAGCTCACTGAAAGGTTCATCATCACTGCTCTAAGTTACAGAGATTCAAGAGAATAGAAGAATAGTTTTAAGGTAAATGTTAGGTTCATTTATTAGGCAGATTACTGTAAAGTCTCATCAAACACTCCTGAGATAGTGATACGTAGAAATGTATTCATTAAAACGAAATTCTTTCATTGGGAATTCCAATAGAATTTTACTAACAACTTGAAATATTTTATAAGCCAACAAGTTTTTTTTGTTTGTTTTTTGCACAAAAGTACTAAGGAAAAATAAAAATGCTAAGAAAGAGAAATGTACTTTACAAAAAATTCACTAAATTACTTCTAATGCGGGATGTTGGCTTCTGGCTCCAATGTATATGTTTTTTCTTTTCTTTTTTTGAGAGAAATAGTTTGAGAAGCCATTCTGTGTATAAATTTTGCTCTCTAGCCCATTTTGTTTACAAGGTAGTATTGAGTACAAAACAAGGGCATTTCAGGAAGATAAGCTTTGTCCTTGAGCTGCCTCTGCACCCAGATAGTTTCCTTCTGCCTTAGTTAGGAAGGGTGCTGGATACTAGAGGTCTGCATTGAGAAGCCCGGCTTGGGAATAGATATGATACTGGTCAGCTGGATTCTAACGTTCTCATCTGGAAAAGTCTGATTCCTTTTTTGACTTCTTGGTATTTGTTTTAGATTTGATTTGGAATTAAAAATTGTTGGGATAATTATTAGTCTTTTTCTCATTCTCATTTTCTCTTAATCAGAAAAAGAATAAACCAAAGGAACCACCCAAAGTACCCAAATCAGCACCATTTTTTATTCCAACAGTTCCTGGCCTTGTACCCAGATATGCTGCACCTGAACAAAATAATAATCCCCAGCAGGTAAGAACCAAACTAGATAAGAACCTAAATATATGGGGTTTGTGTTTGCATATATCTCGTATAGTTCTTTACCAAGACCTAGTTTTACAAATATAAATAATGATAGCTTTTAATTACAAGCCATGAATTTTTTTTGACACAATCTTTTAAATTTGTTTCTGTTTAAGTCTAAGGTGGTAAACCTTGGAATCCTGGCTCAAAAATCAGATTTCTGCTTGAAACTTGAAGAAGGATTGCTAAATAATAAGTGTAAGTTAAATTATAACATATTTTAACATGTATCTTTAGCTTGTTTTACTTTATATGAAGAAAAATTGAAGGAAATACCAGATTACTTAGCTAAAAAGAGGGTAGTAAAAACAAAAGGTTGCACTTTTGGTTTTAATCTGAACTGATTTTAGCTTTAAAATTACAGTATATTAAATGAGTGACACCAAACTCAGATAATAACTATAGAAGTTTATTGAAAAGCTTTAACATTTTCTGTGTGGAATGTTAAATTTTTTATTTTGCAATTTGGAGATGGATACATATATTGACAATATTTAGAATAAGGAGCCCCTTTATGTGCGTTAAATGTAAAGGTTTTGTTTTAGCTGGTAATTTACATGATTTTTGTTATTTACAGATTTGATTTGTGGTAAAATTTTCAGTACAACAAAGCCTTGTCATAGGTAATTTTATATATTTGCAAATTATCCTATAGAAATACATATTTTTTTGAGACAGCATCTCACTATGTAGTCCAGGTTGTCCTTGAACTCGCTATGTAGCCCAGGCTGGTTTCGAACTCTTGGCAATCCTCGCATCTCAGCCTTCCGAGGGCTGGGATTATAGGCATGCGCCACCACACCTGGTAGAAATTTTTAAATATCTTTAAGTGTGTAATATATTTAAATGAAGTGATTGTAATAACTGGAATTTTTTAAAAACTTAATACAGATGAAACTGCTCTCAACCTTCTAAAAGAATTAGGCCCATCAGGAATTGAAACAGAGCTGCGAAATTTGTCTCCTGATGGTGGTGGGTCTATAGAAGTTATGCAGAGTTTCTTGAAAATGATCGAGATGATGTTGGAAAGGAAGCGTGACTTTGAGTTAGCTCAGGCATACCTTGCATTATTTCTAAAGGTAAGTCTAATGTAAGGTATTTTCTGTCTTTGCTCCATAGAAGCAGTATTGTCTAGTAGAACTTTTTATAAAGATGGGAACAGTCTATATCCACACTGTCCAATATGACAGCCACGTCACACCCGTAGCTCTTGAATACTTGAATGTGGCTAGTGTGGCTGAGAAACTGAATTTTTAATTTTATTTAGCTGAAGTTTAAATAACCATATGTGGCTGGTGACTATCACATTGGAGTAGTTGAACCATGCAGCTTGATAGGTTTTTTGTTTTTCCCCATGCAGCAGCACAAAAATTTTAACTGTATATCCACTTACTCCAATATATTTATCCATTAACTTTTTTTAAGTAGTTATATTCTGTAAGTTTCTGTGATCACAAAGAGAAAGCCAGGTTTTACTGCTGAAATCAAAAAGCTCACCTCTGTCAAAGTTGGAGTTTAAAGTGATTTGGCATAAGTTGCTTTTGTGATTAACATAATAGTGAAATCATGTTTCAAAGATATATCTTTATTCCATTAATAGTTAAAATATTTTCACTCAATATGATTACTTAAAAATTATTTGAAAGCTAGATATTTAGGTAGTGGCCCAATGTATTGAAAAATAAAAGTATCAATTGTCTGGTTTTTTTCCCCACATTTACTGTATTTTAGTCACTTAAGTTGAACTTATTTAAAACCTTTAGAAAATAAAGCAAAGAGCCCTTCCACCGTTCATTACTAGTGGATTATATTGAAAGGACAAATTTATGGAAGCACAGAAATGTGGAATTTGTGTTGGAACTAGGGCTCTGGATTGGGGGTATAGCTCAGTGGTAAGTGTAAGGCTCTGGGTTCAATCCCCAATTCTACCGAAAAAACAAAGCAAAACATAAAAACCTACAAAAAACAAAAGTTGGACCTTGTTTCAGGACTTTTGTATAGTGGAGAAGAATGATGAAAGTTTGGAGAGGGAAACTGGAGATAGTAATAAACCAGCATATAAGATATATTTAGATACTATCTTTTTAGGTTCCTTGAGAGAAAAATGAATGCAAAGTAGGTGAGTAAAATATCCAACTATCATATTTTTCTTTTCAGTTACACCTTAAAATGCTTCCTTCAGAACCAGTACTCCTAGAAGAAATGACAAAATTATCATCACAGGTGGAAGAAAATTGGATTCATTTACAATCACTCTTCAATCAGAGCATGTGTATTTTAAATTATATCAAGAGTGCTTTGTTATAAACTTAAGTGATTAAAGAAATCAAAGACATGTATTAAATGGGTTCAGTTGAACTCATCTTTGTTTTCCAGGTTTAATGTGATAAGTGCTAGCACTACTTACCTCGTCAGTAATTCTCTTTTAAATCAGAATGCTTTCTTGAAATAAAATTATATCTGCCTTTTGTTTTGAAGATCTAAAGAATCTACTCAAATGACTTGTTTTGTTTTTGTTTTTTTATCGCTACCGGGGATCAAACTCAGGTCCTTGAGCTTGCGCAGCAGGCGGCAAAACCACTGAGCTAAATCCCCAGCCCTCAAATGACTTATTTTGAATCTTTTCAAATTAGTTGTGTAAGAATTTTTGATTGTTATTACCAGCACATATTTTTGAGTATGTTACAGATAAGAGATGTCTGCATGTTTAGTGTGAAGTAGTGCTGAACTACATTGAAGATACCAGATAAAACATCTATGGTATAAAAATCCGTATGATATGAAGATAAAAGTTTTTTTCCTTCATGGCTTTTGATGAAGGCAAGTTTTAAAAGTGGAAGTCAGATCAGATGTCTTCTGGTATGCCCTTCTTTTTTTTTGGTACCAGTAATCAAACTCTGGACCTTGTGCTTGCCAGGCAGGTGGCGGAACCACTGAGCTAAATCCCTGGCCCAGTTATGCCCTTCTGTGCAGAAGAGTTAGGATGAGGTCAGCTGGGATCTCTGATGATCTAACTTTCTAACATAGGTCTGTTGTTCTCTCCATTGTGTTCTGAAGGAAATTGTTCTTGGATCAGAAATGTGAGAGGCGCTTGCCCATCTGAGGTAGACTGCTGTAGGAAAAGGTTGAACAGATACCTAGGATAACCAGGGGGAATTCCAAATTCCACTAAAGGGTGTCCTTCACAGATTTTTCTTTCTTTACTAATGACTTGTTTATTTGGGAAGAAACTGACTACCTTTCTCTCACAGATGTTGTGAAACACAGTAGCTCTGGCAGTTTTCTCTTTTCAGATCATTTTCTTTTTTGTGGTTCAATTCTGCAGCAGTGTGTAAGTGAAAAATGAGCAGTTCTTAAAAATACAGAGTTTTAAAAACTGTTTTTAGTTTCTAAACTCAAATGTTGTTTTGCTCCTAAAATGGAGCTGGCTGGATTTGGAAGGCAGCTTTGCTCACCATTGTTAACATCAACGTAAACTAGCTGGATTTGATCACTGATATTCTTGATCAACATTAGGATAAAAGAGTTTACAAACTGATTTACAGACAAGGACAGTCATTAAAAAGAGTTGGCCAATGAGAAATTTAATATTAAAACATTTTTATTTAAATAGCATATGGTAGAATTAGTTAACTAAGGAAATAAACCAATCTGGCTTTATACTCGTTTACTTTCAAAAATGTATATCTCAATTTATTAAGCCATAGATTAAAATGTTAGTAATAAATTAAGTTCTGACTTTAAAACTGTACTGTATTTTCCTTTGTCTCAAATACAGTGAAGATAAGGCAGAAATTTAGTGCAGACTCATGTACCTTATAAACATTAAATAACAACAACATAAGAACTGTGAACTAAAATTGTATTCCTTTTTTAAATTATGAACTGAATTTTCTTGTCTTTCAAATGAATATAGAGTTGAAAATGTTATTTTTATTGACAATATCTTTAGGTAGTATTTCCACATTATTTTAGCAGGTATCCCTTCCAGAACCTTTCCTGTGTGTTTGCCATCAAGGGACAGAGCCAGAGATACATAAAAGTATAATTGTGTGTCTGTATTTTTCTTAAAATGTCATTCTGTGCATACTGCTTTATCTTTAAGTTAAATTTTAAATTACACATGTAATATATGACTAATTTTATTGTAAAAAGATCAGTCAAGTTTTTTGACAAGTATAAAATGTATAGTTTGAGATTTTACTCAAAGATATGTTTTTCATTCTGCAACTTGTTTTTCCTACTTTTATTGCATTCCATTCACATTTAACTAATCTCTTTATTTTTGCACCCTGTTTCACACTTTTGCCTATAATGGATGCTTAAGTGGTTCACCTTTTCTCTCCTTTAATTGTAAACAGTGCTGAAGTGAACATCTTATATAATGAGTCTTTATGCAACTATAAGGATTCCTCTCTAGTATATATGTTTAGAGTTTGAATTGTTTGGCCAGAAGACAGTTTTAATTTGAAGAGATAGTTTTAGTTGGCTTCCAACGTGGCTATAGGAATATATAGTTTCCCTCAACGAATGAGTTCCTGCTTTGTCATATGATGGACATTTGAATTAGATCTTTATAATTTTTATTAACCTCATAAGTGAAAAAATATTGTATTCAAAAGTTCTGCACACTGGTAAGGGTGGGCATCTTTTTATATATTTACTTTTTAACTCATGGATTTTAAGCTTTCATATAACTCAGTTACTGATCTTTTTATATCTATTGTGAATGTTTCTCCCAGTCAGTCTGCTTGTCTGACTTAGTTTCCCTTCTATAGATTTTTTTATATTTTTATAGTCAAATTGAGAAATTTTCTTATTACAACATATAAAGTAAGTCCTCTTTTCTAAGAGATTTATCATGTGTTTACATGTTCATTTCACAGTTATTTGTATTTCCTTCTAAGATGAGCATCAGTGTGAGTGGTTAATGTCTATATCTATATCTGTAATTGATTTATATGAAGAAGTTGAGCTATAGACCTACCTTTATATTCAAGTCTATTCAAAACTTATTCCCTGGAAAGTTCTTTTGTCTCTAATATGAACTGCAACTTCATTATGTACTACATTATTTTATTGAGCTTTTTGATATTTCTAATAAATAGTGTATTAATTTGATTGTAGTTTGATATGCTTTCAGATTTGGTGGGGTAGAACATTCCTGATGTTTTTAAAAATTTCTTAGCTACTGGGTGAGCATGTCTTCTTGAAGTCTGATTTTTTATTTCACAAAGTTTATAGAGTTGATTTGTAGCAAAGTATACTACTGAGTATTATTTACATAAGAGTATATTTATTTATCTTCATTAAATCAGATCATTCATGGGCAGAATTCTCTCAGTTTCACAGTTTTTTTATATAATACATGTTTGACAAATTCATTTCTGGATTTTATTTTTGCTATATTTAATTTCTTATACATGTTATAAATTGATGTAACTTATAGAAAAGCAGCTTGATTTTTAATGTTGATCTATTCTGTCACCACAGAATTTTTCTTTCAAAACTTTGTCAGTATGTCACAGATTAAGGATGATGTATGCCCTGAATTTGTGCTAGATAACCTTTATTAAATTTAATTTTATTTTAATACTTCTTTAAAAGTTAAAGTTGGTGTAAATATTGATTTTTTTAATCAAGTGTTTTTTTTCACCTTTTGTATTTAATGATGAAGATCTTTAAATGGAAAAGGTAGGCACAGTGACAGACACCTATAATTCAAGCTACTCAAAAGTCTGAGGCAGAATCGCTAGTTCAGGGCTAGCTTGGGCAACACAAGACCTCATCACAACAAAAAAGCTCTTAGACAAATAAATTTTGCTGTATGTATTGGCATGTTCCAGCTCTTTGGGAGGCTTAACTAGGATAATCTACAAGTTCAAGGGCAACTTAATGAAAACTTGTCTCAAAAAATGAGAAAGAGCTAGGAATGTAGCTCAGTGGTAAAGACTGGGTTTGACCCCCCCAGTACTACAAAAAGATATTTTCAATTGGTATAATGTATGTATTAGTATAATGCATTAGTATCATGTATGTATTAGTATAATTTTAATTAAATATTTTCCATATCAAATTGTATTTCATCTGGTATAGAAGTGCTAAGTAAGCTGAAATGGGTCCATTTGTCATTTCATAGAATTATCTTTCTTTGACTTTTTTTTAAACTTGCCTAATCAAAGATGAAAAATGCCTTCCATAGAGTCTGTATTACATTGTTTTCTTCTTCTATTTAATTTGTAGCTAATTACTATTATTGAGTTTTCTTCCTCTTCTCAAGCCATATTGGTAAATTATGTAGATAAGCATATCCCTTTTTATTAATTGCTTGATTAAAAGCAACAGAAGCCTCACTCACTCAAACATAGTGTCTGCATAGTCCAGGAAAAAATTAGCCTTAACCTACATCTAAATTCACAGGTTCCTTGGCAATCAGTTCCTCTCTTTCCCTCTTTTGCACTTCTCATGCCTAGCTAACTGCTGAATGGAGATCTCTCCTCATTCATTGATTCATCAGATATTTATTAAGGACCTCCTATGTGCCAGAATTTCTTTTAGTATGCAGACACATTACTGATCAAAATTTAAGACCACACGACTGCTAGCAGTTCTGAATTTATATATTCCTCTTATACTAATTAGAAAATGACTAAGTCCTAAAATAGAATTTTAGTGAGCCTACTTTGAACCACTCACTGTAGCCACAGGGGACTCAGTTCTTTGATTAGCTAAGCCTGAGTCTCATACTGAAACCTGAAAGTAAGATGGAAACAACCATACAAAATCTTATGGATTAGGAAAGGAGAGTAGCTACCCGACGAAATGGGTTTCGTAATTAGATGAAAAGGGAAGGCAAACAAAAATACGAAATATTATCTGTGTCTAAAATTGTGGTACTTCTTAATGGAGAATTAATTCTATACAAGAATCTGAAGAAGCATTTTTAAAAACGTGCATTTGAAAGTTCTACATTTTAAATATAGGTTCTTAAACGCACAGGGTAGAAAAAAATGTAGTCAATGAAATACATATTTTTATGTATTTAGGAGCTAAATTAGCATTGTAGTTAAAGTACACTGTGTGGGCCAAGGCATTGAGATAAGATTTTATTAAGGTTAACTGGCTACAAGGCCAGTTTTAATATCTTTAAAATTACATTTTTCTGTCATGTTATTTAGGACTCTTGATTGTAAATTACAGAAGATTTTAGTGTATAAGCAAGAAGTGGAATTTAAGGATACTTTTGCAACGGTTAGATTGGTTTCAGAAATTTTTTTGTGATGGTTAAAACACTGAGAAACACAGTATTCTTCTGGTTTTCTTTGCATACTGGTTCATTTGTTTAATTTCAAAGTAGTAACCCACTGATGTGTAGCTTCTTCTTGAAGTCCAAGCTTGGATTCTAGAAGCTAAAATTCCTCCCTTCCAGATACTCAGTTATCTCACTTTCCTTCCACAGCCCAGAGAAGGGGAATCCCTTTCTTCTTCCCACCTCCGGGGGTAAAACAAGAAAGGCTTTACCCCTCCCACATCCTATTTTCACCTCTCTTGTAGCCATGTTAAAGGGGAGGTTACACTCTCAGCTGTCACCTCTTTGGAAACTAATTTCTAGATGATTGAACATGAATTATTAACATAGTATGTCACCATACAATCCTGCCTCCCCCAAAATAAAAAAACCACAAGCACATCTTCATCCAAGGAGCCAGTTGCCTGAAATCAAGAAAAAGATGATATGCTTGGAAAGAAAAAGGACATCAGTCTTTAAGGTACATGTTTTTGGTCATTATTCTTATGTTCTGCAGATTGTCTTTTATTTTCTACCCTTAATAGTTGGAGATCCTGAAGTTCCAAGCCTTAATCACCTTCAAAAGAGTAATTGAGCATAAGCCATATACCTTTCGGCCCTTCTCCCATTGAGACTAATCCATGATGTTTTTTGCAAAGGAAAAGGGCACTGATGTTAATGAAGGTCACAGCAAAGGCCAGTGGTTTTCAGTGTCCTTCACTCAACTCAGTAGCATCAGCATCGTGTGGGAGCTTGTTAATACACATTCTCAGGCCCAACACCAGACCTGCTGAAATAAAATCCCTGTGGATGGGGTCCAGCAGCCTGAGGTTTAATATTTATTGGCCTCAATGATTTGAATATATCTGAATTTTGAGAAACGGAGAGGGAAAAGAGCTATAAGGGATGAGATTCTCACCAATGACCCTATGGAAATGGGTTAGAGATAAGACTTGCAGGCCTTCCCTCCCATGCCACCAAGAACGAAGTGGGGTAAAAGACAAGGACAAATCCCTGGAGACATAAGTGGAATTGCCGTTTTGTGCCTTGGCCCTCCCTCCTCTGGAGGAGGATGTATCACAGGCCTTTTGTCCAAACACAAGGTAGCTATAGTTAGGAATAATTGTATGACAATGTATTTAGGCCAGGAGAAAAGGCTCACATGCAGTTTCCCATAACAGTGAAATTTGGAGGGTTCTGAAGTTTCCATCTGCTCCCCTGAAGAGAATAAGGGAAGGAGCTGGGAGAAGAGTGCTAACAAGCCTATTATTAAAGCCCCTGTGATTGATGGGTGGACAGTAACTCAACAGCAGAGTGTAGTGGCACTATCCTAGTCTGCAGCTAGCAGAGTTGGCACTACCTAAGTAGTAGGGCCAGGGCCATGGTGCAGGGCAAGTGAGAATGATCTACCCACACATCTTGGAAAGGAGAAGGATTGTGAGGACATAAAACGTTCCTAGCAGGACAGTTTTAAATAGTTTCTCTAAATACTGTAACCCAAAACAGCCTAAGCTTTGTGAAAGACTGATAGTTTTAATTAATTATTGTGGTTTCCCCCCAGATCCAATGTTATGAGGGCTTACAGTACAAAAATAGTTATATAAAGAATTCTGATGAGATTGTTTTTAGTGTCTATGCTGAATTTCCAATTTTAATTATGATAATTTTCAATTCTAATTGAATCTACTAAATGTCTCTAAATGGTACTTAAAATATTCAATACTTTGTCTTCATCGGTTTAAAGTGGTTTATAAACACCATAGGTGTCTAGATAACAGTGGTTTAATGTTCACCAAAAAAAGAATGATATAAATTCTTGCACATAATTTTTAGCTAAATGAATAAATGATGTTCATTTATTTGCTACCACGGCCAAAAATCAACCTTTATTTATTTTAATTTTATTGGTACACTTTTGATGCACATAATGATCACATTCATCATAGGGAATTTGCACCTGTACATAATATAACTTGATTCTTTTTTTCTCCATTACCCTCCCATCCCTTCAACCCTTCTTGCCCTCTTTATTTACAATAGCTTTGTTTCCATTTTTTCCTTCTGTTCTCTTTTCCTTTTCCCTTCTTGTCCTTCCTTCTCTCCCTCTCGTTTGTTCTGCTTCCCAGTTGAACATTTTCTTCCTATTTCTCAGTGATTTTTTTAGATTAAATTCTTTTATTGATACACTGTAGATATACAACACAATTACATTTCTCATTGGGAATTGTACCTTTACATGATGCATCCTGGTTCTTATTTTTTCCCCATTCCTAGCCCTCCCTGCACCCCTTCCACCCTTCCCCATTTACAAAGACTTTATTTCCATTTTTTCCATCTCTCCTTTCCCTTCTTTCCTTTCCCCTGCCCCTCCCACTACCCCTACCCCTTTGGACCTTTTCTTCCTATTTTGCATTATCAATTACTCGTTCTAATCATTGGTACATTTTACATATACAATATGACATTCAACATTGGAAATTTGCACCTTTACATCGTCTCTCTTTGTTCTTCTTTTTGACCCATGCCCAGCCCTCCCTTCAACCCCTCCATTCCTCTCTATTTATAAAGATTTTGTTCCTGTTTTTCCATTTTCTCATATTAATCCCATTCCCTTCTATCCTTTCCTCTAGCCCTCCTACTTCCTTCCCCTTTGCCCCTTTTCTTCCTATTTCACATTTTGCCTGTTATACATTTAGTCCTTATTTACACTTTCAGGTTCTCACACCAGAGAAGCTATTCAGCATTTATACATGTGTGTCCTATTTATTTCACTTAACAGTATCGCCTCAATGTGCATCCACTTAGCTATAAATGTCTCTAATTTCTCATTTTT